CAACCTCCAGGGGGAGAGCGTTCTCTGTGGCGGCATCTGCCCTCTGGAACAACTTACCCCCAGAGATATGCACGATACCAGACCTCCAGACTTTTCGTCGGGCCCTGAAAACACATCTATTCCATCTAGCCGGGCTGGCCTGACCCCATCCTTGCGGTTTTAAATTTATAATTGGTTTTAATTGGGTTATTTTAAATTGATGGCCAAAATTATTTAATGTTTTTTAAATTGTTTTTAAATTTTATATGTTGTGTTTTTACCATGGCTGTTCATAGCCCTGAGTCCTGTTGGAGAAGGGCGGTATACAAATAAAATAAATAATAATAACAACAGATAGGAGAAATGAATATATACAAATCCATGTAGCAGGCTATTTTGTCATTCTTTGCCCAAGGGCCTGGTGGCTCAGCAGACTGATAGCATTGTGATTAACACCAGCTGTCTGCAATTACTGTAAGTTCGAATCTCACCAGGCTCAAGGTTGACTCAACCTTCCATCCTTTCTAAGGTAGGTAAATTGAGGACCCAGTTTGTGGGGGCAATAAGCTGACTTTGTATAAATATACAAAAGTATGAAGGCTATTGCTTAACGCATTGTAAGCCACCCTGAACCTCCAGAGAATGGCAGCATATAAATCAATTTTTTTTTAAAAAAAAAATGTCCTATACAGCCCTACCTGTTTAAGCATGTCATTAGAAAACCAATTTTTTTCAGGATGTGTGATCATGCAAGAGATGCTCATCTACAATGTAAACCAGGGGTTACCAAAGTCTTCAGCTTATCCAGCTCTTCATGAAATTTCATATGGTTCATTCATCGCCAAACACTTATATCAGGGATGTCAAAATGGTGGCCTGTGGGCTGGATGCATCACACGCCCACCCCGGCTTCACAAAGGCAAAAAACGTCACAATACGTCACGTGATGTGATCAATTTTGACATCCCTGCCTTATATGAAAATAATTTAATATATGCTACTTTCATAATGTTACAAATAATAATAGTAACAATAATGAGTAACCTTATCAAACCTTGGGAGTTGATACTGAATCTTTGGGGACCCTACTGAAAATGAATTCTATAGGCCTATGATGGTGAACCTATGGCACACATGCCACAGGTGGCACACAACGTCCTCTCTGTGGGCACGTGAGCCATCACCCAAGTTCAGCTCCACTGTGCATGCGGCGTGCCTCCCACCAGCCAGCTGGTCGTCGGGTCTCTGCCATGCATGCGTGAGGGTGGGGCACGTGTGGGAGGCATGCGTGCTTATGCGTGGGCAGGGTGCATGCACGGGTGTGTGTGCACGCATGCATGGGGGATGGGACGCATGTGCAGGGGGTGCACATGCATTTTTGGGGTTCAGGTATGCGTGCATGCATTTGTGCACATATGTGCGCACCTTGGGCACTCAGTCTGGAAAGGTTAGCTATCACTACTATAGGCTAAGGCTAAGGAAATCAAGGTATGAGTGGTGGAAAGCCTGATATTGAGTTCAGACATTGCTTTAAGTTGTAATACTGTATGGCTTCCTTGACTAATATCTAGTGTAATGAATAAACAATGTGGCTACAATTCAAAATTAAATCATTCCATGACTTGGAATTAATGTGAATCTATAGATATATCTCCACAAGTTCATTTCTCTGTCATTATAAATATGGTGAGGTTTGTGTTCCAGTCTTCATCTTTTCCAAGTCTTTTAACCATTGATAACATGCCTCCTAATTTGTATTTTTATTAATGCCAATAGAAAATACCTTGTATAGGATTCAGTTTGTATGGCATTTGGGTACTTTCACAAAGATATTTTTTCTGCAATAGTCACACTGTTCTAAATACGGAAAATGATTCATCCTCTAATTATCATAGCTTTTAACCTAAATTCAAGATGCAGAACCAACGCGGAAAGTCAGATAGGGAACAAGAGGGAGAAAAAGAAAGGAGAATAATAGAAGATATGGAGAGAAGCCAAAAGCATCCACTTCTCAACAACATTCTCCATTCCTCTGAGTTATATTACAATATGGGTGACTACATAAATCTTTTTAAATAAATAATATTCTATGCTATGATAAAGTAACAAGTTCTTACAGACTTTGAAGTAATATCATGGGAGAAGACAAATATTACTAGGCACTAATGATGTTGTCAGCCTCTAAACAGTACTTTTATTTGCAACAAAACTACAGACAGAGAAAGGAAGAATTGTTTACAATTTAGATGCTGGAAAACGATGGTTCTTCCTGGAAAAGGGATGCTAATACGCAAATGGTCATCTGTTTATTTATAACTACTAGGATAGTCCTCAGTATACTCAAGTGCAAGAAGTCCTTTAATTTGAAATGTTCGGAATTAAAAATTTGTTTCTTTGCTGGCTGGCATCAGTGCTACAACTGAGCATAGCTAACACCTGGGTCTTATTTAATCCCCCACCCCCCGGCATATAAAGCTTCAGTCAGTACTGAGTGACTCAGTCTGACATATTTTAGATCTCCTAGAATGCCCTAAAATAAAGTAACTTGAGGACATTGTAGGAAATTAAATTGGAGACATTGAGCTAGCTGTTGAGAATATTGCAGCAGATAAGCCAACTGAGGTACATGGATGCAAGAGAACCTCACCGTACTACTTAATAATCCCATGACAAAACTGAAGCCTTAGGATTTTTCCCAGTATTTTCTTACGATAATCTTCCTCCAATTTTGGCTGTAAATTCTGGAAGATGCGTCCCAGCACATCTGGAAAGGACCAAGCTGGGAAATTCTGGCTCGGTGTATTTAGAAAATATATTTTGCTGAGACAACATGATCTAAAACTTTTCTAAGCAAAATAATTGATCCAGGAAATGTTAAGCATTTGCTTCTTTTACTCTTACATGCTCTTCCTTTTGGCAAGAGTTGTCTAAGATTTATTGTTTAGCATTGCTATTGTGAGCCCTAAAGTACACATCATCAACAAGGTTGTTTAAAGAACAACCTTGGGAGAAATGTCTGTTTAGGGTTTTTCCACCCTGTAAATTTAGGTAGTCTCAGTGTAATATTAGATAATAAAATGCTTATTGGGTCTATCTTATTTCTCCTGAACCCAAAACATTCTTAAGAAAGAAGGGGGAAATCCAGAACTCCCTAAACTAATTACCAGTGTCCAATCTGCTTATCTAAACCTCACTGGTCAGAGCAGTGGCATTTAACTCAGAATGTTGAATTCTCCAGCATCCTGCTTACAAGTTTCTGAGTTGTCAATCAGAGATTGGAATGTTTGTTCAGACAATGGAGCCAAAATTTCTCTGCTTAGAGCTTGAAGTTTTGTTTTGAAATGTTCACAGTCTCCTGGGGCAATTATCTGCCTGAAGAGTGAGATACATGACACCATTTATAGGGTATGTTATGAAGCTTCAAGTTGGAATAAAGAAAAGTAAGAGGGGGACAAAGAAAACTCACACATTATCACTATCTATCTATCTATCTTCCTATCTCTTTTTTGTATTTTGCAATGAGCAATGGGGCCATTTTCCCCTCATCCACCACCACCCCTTCTCTGCTCTGCTATGCTTCCATTTAATTAGTTCTGCTGATTTATCTCCTGCTGGTTAATGTTGCATGTCTAAATATGAAGTCTCAGGTGTGGGAGTACCAGTGGTCTAATGAGTTGCATCTCATTCTCATTAAATCTAGTATTGCATCCTTTTCAAGTAAACTTTCCCATGGGACCAGATTTTACTAACTTTGTTGACCAATGAGTCTTCAGTTGTTTTATAAATACAGACAATTAAACTGGGAATTAAGTTAGCCCCGTTGCAAGTTTAGTTCTGTTGGTGATGTGTCTGTCAACAAGTCAGAGAATGCTAGTAACTAACCTTTTTAGTTAAAAGGCCAATCAATCATTTTCTGTTGTGGGTTTAGGTCTGCTGCAGCACAGAGACTCCTGAGAGTACGTTAGGGCTCACAATAGCAATGCTATTTGATTGACATTTCCTGAGAAATGATTCTGATAGGCTCAGTGAGCCGAATCTGGAAACAGAGAATTGGGGACAAGGGTTTTCTCAGAGCTTCTATGCATAATAGATGATGCACTAAGTCCCATTACTGACCAAAGAAGGATAGTAATGCAGGCATTCATAGCAGTAAGTAGGATCATCTGAACAAACTGTTTACATTGAAAAATAAAACTGGAAACACATCAATGTTCTGCTGCATATCAAGACCAGCAGCCAAGCCATCTCCTTCGATATGGGAAACGCAGGTGAGTTTACTTAAAACAGGATGGATGCTGAATGGGCAGCCTGGGACTCAAAGGAGCACTTGCCCTTTTGGAAGGTTTTAAGAAATGTAATAAAACTCAGGAGAGTTATTTAAACACTTATTTTCCTCATTTTCTCCCTTTAAGAAAATATGAATCGTTCCAATGAGGGTGCGTGCTTATTGTACAATATAGAAGTTCATTATGCTAGATGAGAAATTTATTTTTTTTAACAGAAAACTAAGAGTTTATCTTTATAGGCATTTTTAAGAATACTTAGACTGCTATCAAATAATACCTTGGGAAAATACAATGGATTTTTTTTAAAAATGATGTTATTAAATTTATGAGGGAAATAGCTTTATTTTTTAAAAAAATTTCTCCCATAAACAAAATGGACTTGTTCATGCAGACACACGAAATTCAGATCAGTTAAAGTTATGGACATTTGGCAAAAGAAAAACATATTGCTGTTGAAGAATATTAGCTTCAGTTCTGAACACCAATCTGAAGCTTCAAGACCAGCTTTTGATGCTATCACTCCATCCATTCATCTTTTTCTTATATCAATTGTAAGTCTCATTGTATAGGGTTTCCTCCCAAATAAATTATCCTAGACTTAGAAGTTTAATGACATAACACTTTGACTAGCTGGTACTTTTTTTTCATGTGTATCTTGCAGATTTCTGGCTGCTTTGTCTAAAAGTTATGTTTTCGATTGAATTGATTTCTCCATTTCCCTTTTTTATTGTACAGAATCTGACAACTAAAGAAAAGCAATATTTGCTCAAGAATTTAACGGTGGCCTTGGACTGATAACAATGAATCATTATTACATTGCTTTTATGTGCACTGTGCTTGGCACTGAATTACTAAGGAGCTTTGGTACCCCTGTCAAATCCCCAAGGTTCAGAGGTCGGGTGCAGCATGAACGAAAAAATATTAGGCCAAATATTATACTTGTGCTTACAGATGACCAGGATGTGGAGCTTGGTAAGTCTGTTTTGAATTGCAGCGTCTTTTTACCACCATCACCATTTTCTTTGGCTTTGTTTTGTTCTTTTGAAAATCACTTTCTGCTCTGTAAATAATCCTTCTATATAGCAGCGTTTCCTGTCCATTATTGTAACTGTTTGACAGATTTGGACAACCCATTCCCAGGAAACAAAATGATCTGGGTTTTTTTGCTTCAACGTGATATATCTTATTCCTATTTAACTGCAGAATTGAGATAATGTTCAGCTACCTCTGATTAAATGAAGAATTGTTTAAGACTGGGTGGCAAAGGAAAAGAGGAAGTTTCCTGTCAACAGCTGTTAATTTTCTAATAATGGCCATTCATGAATGTGTGTAAAACATTAAATATCTGGAACACTGAAAACACAATCTCTTGGATGCAGTTATACTTCTATTTTATCTGTGTATACAATTAAAAGCTGATTATTTTTATATATTTATTAATATTTACTATGCACTGTCTGTATGGCCCAATTTCACTCTAGCTATATAAGTATCTCAGGAAGAAGTCTCAAAATTCAATCTGTCAATTAATATAAAGCAATCAAAAGGCCAGTGAGGCCCACAAGAGCACCAAAAACTGTTTGAAATAGAAGGTTTTAAGAATCTTAAGAATGACTGCCAGGTGCTGCAATTTGGCAGTTCAAATCTCACCAGGCTCAAGGTTGACTTCCCCATCCATTCTTCCGAGGTGGGTAAAATGAGAACCCAGATTGTTGGCGACAATATGCTGACTCTGTAAACCGTTGTATGCAGGGCTGTAAAGCACTGTGAAGCGGTATATAAATCTAAGTGCTATTGCTATCTTCCTAAAAGTCTGGAATGAAGGAGCCAAGCATATCTCTAAGGTCAGTGTATTCCATGAATTGGGGTCACAACTGGGACAGATTTTGCAGGAGAATCACTCATAGAGCAGAATGTGACTCAGTGATCTAAGAGTAGAGTCAGACTCATTTTGGACAATATAGATCCCAAGGTAATCTGGCATTGATAAAGTATTCCACCTGTGGGGTCAATTAGCCCTCTGGGAATCAACATTTTCTGGAAAGTAAGCAAATGGTGAATAAGTAAATTATGCTTTGAGTTGAGCTTAACAGTCAGGGATTTCATGGGTTCTTCCATGAAATCTATTGACAATAATAGAGAAGTGATTTTGCTTTCAATTTTCCAATATGGCCTGCAGCTCAACCAAATGTCAAACATGTCAAAACCTTGCTTATCTTTTTGAGATCAGCCAAAGTCAATCAGATGTTGCCATTACTTCATGTCCTGCCCCTCAAACAATGGGAACAAGAATGTGCCTTGATCTTTTTGTGTATGGCACTTTTTCAGGTACTTGGAAAGTATTATCCTTCCTTAGTCTTCTTCTGTTAAAGTTAAACTTTCCCATTTTTGCACTCTTTTTTTATGTCTTGATCTAGTCTCTAATTATCCATTTTGCTCATCTCTGAATCTATAGCATTTGTCTGAATCATTTTTAACTGTTTATTCTTCACTACATCTACAAGGAATTGAGCTTTTTCGTTTCATCTTTTTTGCTAGCTCATGACGATGGTCCTCAAGAGATGAACCAAAGTACTTTGGTTCACAAGAACCACAAGGGCTGACATAAATGGATATAATGGACCAGCTACTTTCTGTCAGGTCAAACAATCTCATAGTGCTGTTATGGAGAAAATAGGAGGCAGGAGTATTAGGTAGGATGGATAGATGAGAAAGATAGATAGATAGATAGATAGATAGATAGATAGATAGATAGATAGATTCAAAATTACTCTGAAATCCTTGATTACAGATTAATAATTTGTGTCTCTTGAACTGAGATCAAGAATAAAATACTAATTTATTTTGGGAAGTGGATTACATTTACTTAGGAATAGTGCAACTGGGACTTCTATGCAATTGTGTATATCATAGGCCAATACCAAAAAGGTTCAAATTCTGAACACAGAATTTAAATGAAAGAAATCCCTTTGAACAGTGTTGATATGTAAAGTATGGCCCTGAGGGATTGCCATTCGGTTGTGCATTTGTTTAAAAATTAACTGCATGTTTTTAATAGCACTTGGTTTATATGTAAATAGCGACTAATTACAAGGCTCCTGGGCTTAAACCTAATACTTTGCTATTACCTCAAAGCAATAAAATGTGACAATATAGCTTCTACAGTATGGAATATAGTTTTCCCTGTGAAATTAAATGTTAAGAATGGAAGTTTGTAGTGCTCGAAGACATTTTTTAAAAGCTTAAATTGTTCCTTGTTCAGTTAAAAACTGATGGCATATTTATCATTACTGAACTTTAAAAAAGAATGTAGTGTTTATTGAAAAGAAAACACTTGAGTTGAACATTCCTACAGAAAATAAGCAAACAAAGATTATGAAACAGACAAAAATTATGTGCAATACCCACATTATCAACCTAAAGTTTCCAACTCCAGTTGAAACCAATCCAGGATATTTATCTTCCACCCAAGGATATTATGTATGTTTGTGGGTGCGAGAGAGATCAATTGTTGTTGTTGTTAGTCCGAAGTTGTGTCCAACCCATCGCGACCCCATCAGGCCTTCTTGTCCTCTACCATCTCCCGGAGTCCATTTAAGTGACTCCATCCAGCCACTTTATTCTCTGTCGTCCCCTTCTTCGTTTGCCCTCAATTGTTCCCAGCATTAGGCTCTTCTCCAGTGAGTCCTTCCTTCTCATTAGATGGCCAAAGTATTTGAGTTTCATCTTCAGGATCTGGCCTTCTAAAGCGTAGTCAGGGTTGATCTCCTCCAGGACTGATCGGTTATTTCGCCTTGCAGTCTAAGGGACTCACAGGGGTCTTCTCCAGCACCATAGTTCAAAGGTCTCGATTCTTCGGCGCTCAGCCTTCCTTATGGTTCAACTTTCACAGCCATAAATGGGAAACTGGGAAAACCATAGCCTTTGACTGTATGCACTTTTGTTGGCAGGGTGATGTCTCTGCTTTTTAGTATGCTGTCTAGATTTGCCATAGCTTTATTTGCCACAGATTTGCCAGAGATTAGTATCTGACAATATTATCCAATATCTGGACAAACACTTAGATGGTAGCCAAGTAACTCAACTCCTGTTAAGTTAGCCATAGGGATGAAAGGGGAGGGAAAAGAGGAATTCTTCTTAGGTATTATAAAAGGCTTAAACTCATCAGGTCAAAAAAACATGAGTAACAGCTGTTTCCCACTCCTATTCAGACAGCCACATCTATATTCATTTGTGCCCATTGCTCATTCCATTTTTTTCCCATCAGATTCTTCTTTTCTTCTCGATAAAGCTCAGGTTTTGGGGGCAAAAGCCTTCCTATTGCAAATGCACTGTTTCAGTTTAATTCCAGACAGAAATAGCTTTTCAAATTTCTTAATCTTTCTGGAATCTAAAAATGTTTTGCTTTATGAGATTTATATTACTGTGAGAAAAAAACTTAAGAAATGTACAATCAAGTAATTAAATCACACTCACTGTAAACAATAGTGTATATACAAGAAATACTTTAATAAATGGAAATTTCTTGGGATAAATTAAGATGTAACACTGAAAATTGTATTTAGCAATATCAGGGAGCAAGATCATAGTTTATATAAACTTTGAATCAGTGGTGAAATCCAATTTTTTTTACTACCGGTTCTGTGGGTATGGCCTGGTGAACGTGGTGTGGCTTGGTGGGCGTGGCTTGGTAGGCGTGACAGGGGAAGGATACTGCAAAATCTCCATTCCCACCTGACTCCAGGGGAAGGATATTGCAAAATTTCCATTCCCACCCCAGTCTGGGGCCAGCCAGAGGTGGTATTTGCCAGTTCTCCGAACTATTCAAAATTTCCGCTATCAGTTCTCCGAATGCTCAAAATTTTTGCTACCAGTTCTCCAGAACCTGTTAGATTTCACCCCTGCTTTAAATGTGTGCCGTATGTGAGTTAATTATGTGTTTGCTTTTGATGTTTAGGGTCCTTGCAAGTGATGAATAAAACCAGGAAGATAATGGAGAATGGAGGTGCCAGTTTTGTTAATGCATTTGTAACCACTCCAATGTGCTGTCCATCTCGGTCCTCGATGTTGACAGGAAAATATGTTCACAATCACAATGTTTATACTAACAATGAGAACTGCTCTTCTCCGTCCTGGCAAGCAACACATGAGCCACGCACCTTTGCTGTGTATCTCAACAATACTGGATATAGAACTGGTAAGGAATTAGTTTTCACACTCTTTTCATTTTGATTTTTAAAAAGTTGCTTGTTTTCAATCTGTTAATGCTGTTAATAACAGAATTATTTTTGGAACATTGATGCAGCAATTTTGCAAAGCTTAATGGTACTGTGTCTTGTTAATTTGTGGGTAGGAAATCAGCAGAAAGCTGTATAAAAGACCAGATACTAAACTTATTAAAGTGTAGTAGCTTTAGTAGATAGAGGGAAGTTGTGGTAGCAGAGTTTAGAGCAGGGGTGTCAAACTGGCAGCCCATGGGCCTGATGCATCACACACAGGCCACACCCATTCCAGCTCTGTAAATGGAAAAAACATGGTGAAACATCACGTGATGGCAACATGACATGGCCAGTTTGACCCCCGTGGTTTAGAGAGTCAACCTGGACCCATATTAATTTGAAGGTCTTCAAGTAAAAATACAGGATTTTTTTTTCTTAATAAGGAGCCTGCCTTTTAATCCTTGTATTCCAGATCATAGAACCAATTATCTGTCCTTTGCATTGTCCTAAAATTTAAATTGAAACAAATAGAATATTTTTTGAAAATGCAAACTGCAGATAGATACCAGTAGGGGTGGGTTCTACTTACCTTTACTACTGGTTCGCAACGGGACCCCGCGCGCTTCTGCGCACGCGCAGATCACCCATGATGATGTGGGTGATGTGAGCCTCCCGCCGGTTTTACTACCGGTTCTATAGAACCGGACTGAACCAGGAGCAATGCACCACTGGATACCAAGCCCTCATCTTGTTATGAAGGAAGTGGAGAAGAGAATCTATTGGGCTGCCAGCATTTATCTGGGGTTTTCAGCCAAATGAGACTGTTCCTGGCACATATAGGGTGCTGACTCTGGTATTAAAGAGTTGGATCCTGATTTTGGTTGAATATTAAGTCCTATAACAAGGTGACAGTTAAAAACAGCTGAGCAGTAGATATCTGTGTCACCCTGAAAGAGGAAAGGATGTCAACTTAATTAAGGTTGCTGACTCTTCCTATAGAAAACATTCTCTAACCTCCTTTATTGGAAGCAACTCCTGCTTTCCTAATCTGAATTTCTTTGGCTTCAAGTTCCTAGTTCCTCCTAGTTTTTTGCCCTGTGGATTGATATCCAGTTTTCAGTTGTGAAGGAATGTGGCTTTGACTCAAAGACAGGGGAGGAGATTTCTAGGCTGTTACAGAAAAGATATCTGAGTCTTGGAAAAATAGAAAGTGTAGAAATAAATTCAAAACAACTCTGCCTTGACTGTGTTAGATACAAGCTGAAGTAAAGAGGGATTTTGGCAGGCTTTCAAGATCTGTTCCAATACCTTAACTGCATTAAAGTACATTTCTTGTGACTTCCATTTCCTGACGTCGATGGGCTGACATTGGTTTTTGGACTCCACTGGCTCTGGACTTCTGTCTAAATAATTCAGGTTTTATCTCCCCCAGTTACTTCCACAGAGAGACTCTAATCCATAGGCAAGATTCTGTCAATGAACCTCCCATTGTGTGTAAGGCTCAGTTTGATTTACAACCATCAGCTTGTGTGTTATCTCTATTTATGCATTGAACTGATTTATGGCTAAAGTAATTGAAGTACTTAAAACCTAGATGCTAATTTACTCCCACCTGCTCTCAGCTCTACCTTGAACAGAAGAATTTGTTGCCAGTCCTTAAAGGCCCCCTTCCTTTCAGCTTTTTCTGCTGAAATAGAGTATGTTCAGTTGAGAGCCCAGCTGTTCCAGCTAATTGCTCTGATTGATGCTTTGCCATGGCAGCTGAACCTGTTGACGGCTTCAATCCCTCCATGATACAAATGTTCAGTAGCCATACTTGAAAAATTTGAGGGATGTCACAACTAGTTTCCAACATTTGCAACACCCTGAAGATTATCTAACGAAGTAGACAGAAAGTAGTAGGAGCAGTGGCCAAATGTGCAATTCTATTGCCTTATACTTGAGCACCCCATTAAATCTGCCAATCACCAGATCAGAACGCTGCAACAAGGACACCACCTAGTGGCAGAACCTTTAAATAACTTCCTGCTTTTGACAAGACTTGGAGCAGAATGAACGGATCCATTCCATAAAGACCTGGAGACCAAATTCTTGACGACTTGGCCTGAGTTAAGCAGCCATCCACAGCGTAGTTCCTTATCACTATTTATTGATTTATTTAGCATATTTATAAGATAATCAGACTACAGGTGACTCCATATGGTGTACAAGAATAAAAACAGGAAAGAAAACAAGGAAATCGGTAAAAGACAATAATTAAATGAGGAGGAAAACGACATAGTCTTCTATTCCAGAGGTCTCAAACCTGCAGCTCATGGGCCATGTGCAGCCCTTAGTGGTTACCTCTCAGGAGCTGCTGTCTTAGCTTCTCTCCTGTACATATTTGGCCATGCCAAGCAGCAACTTACCAATAGGGTGACTGTACATTCCTAATTTAAATTTGTCCTAGATTTTCAAGTCTTAGGCAAAATGTACCCCACTGTCTTTTTCCTTACAGAATAAGCTGTTCTCCCATAGTGCCAGTGTGCAGTGCTAAGTGCATTTATTGCACTAAATGGCTTGCAAGGCACCATAGGGGAAAAGCCAATTCTGCAGAAACTGGTGCTACCAGGGCAGAAGGAAAACAAGAGAGGAGAACATAGTGCTTTGGGGAGAAGGTGGGAGCTCACAAGGAGGAAGTAATAGCAGGAATCAGTGCCAGTTTATGTGCCCCTGCCTTATCTGAGCCAGCTAGTTTGCCTGCTAATGGCATAAAGAATCAAACTGCCAGGGGGTGCTGCTGATATAGAAAGGAAGGGAAATGGGAATAATAAATGCTTTTTAAAAAATCATATAGTTTTGCACGATTTTATTATTTTAGTGCCCCATCACTCTCAAATGTGTCTGGTTTGGCTGATAGGTTATATAGTCAGTGGACAAATGGAAATGTGGGTTCCTGTTACAGTAGGAACATGTTGTATAAACATGTTAACCAACAGGTTTTAAATCAAAAAATAAGTTTCAATTCGTTTTAATAGTACTTGCATTTTTTGCAGACAGCCCACCAGTTAGCACATTGAAAGTAATGTGACCTGACTTATTCATTTGAGTTTGAGACCCCTGTTCTATCACAGTCACATTCTCAAGGAGCCAACTACCAATCCTAAGGCAAAATGTGGGAAAAGACTCAGATTTTAAGGATTCATATAAAAGGAGCGAGGTGATGGTTATTTGATCATCTGGGAGTACATTTTCAGAGCTAGGCACAATGGCAGAGAAGGTCCATTCCATGAGTCCATCAAATGACAAAAGCAAGTGAGGGGCCTCGGGGAGGATCTCTGTCCCCCGCCCAGACAAACTGCGTGTGACCGAGAGGTAGGAGGAGAACCACTGTAAAACGGTGCACTCTTCCCCCAACCCCCCAAGTCACCGCAGAAGGATACCATGGTCGATGGTATCAAAAGCCTCTGAGAGGTCAAGTAGGACCAGGATGGAGGAATAACCCCCATCCCGGGCCCGCCAGATATCATTCACCAGAGCGATCAATGCCGTTTCGTGCTGTGTCCGCGCCTGAAACCCGATTGGTATGGGTCTAGATAATCCATTTCCTCCAGGAATTATGGGAGTTGGTGTGCCACCACGGACTCAACAGCGAAGGTTGGAGATGGGACAGAAGTTGTTCAAAATGGCCGGATCCAGGGCTGGCTTCTTGAGAAGGGGTCGAACCACCGCCTCCTTAAGGGTGGCAGGGAAGACCCCGTCCCTCAATGAATCATCGACAATCGCCCAGACCCAGTCACCGGTCACCTCTCTGGTTGCCGCAACAAGCCAGGATGGACATGGGTCCAACAACGTGGAGACCCCCAATCTATCCATGATAGGGATTCCATCCAGGATCCCAGTAGCTTTTAGGCCACTGGAATAAGACCTTGTCAGCATCACTTGGTTAGCCAGTGATGAGCTGAACTCCAAAGAGAAGGAGGCAGTAATGGACAATGACAGGGGTATTCCTTATGCTTCCTTCACAGGGAGTGACATCGCCAGAACCATTTTCTGCCATACAAATGCTTTTCCCATAGACAGAAAATGCATGGCAGGCCACTCTCACTTTGGCAGAAGGATACCATGCTATGCAGAAGTATCTAGAATAGCCTTTGAAAGAAAACTTCCTTTTGTACTCTGTATAGTTATTTTGAAAATACATAATAGCTTTCAGGTTTTTCAATATCCCTTCTGTCTTTAATCATCTAAGGCAGGGGTGGGCAACTGTGGCCCTTTTACAATCTGTAGACTTCAACTCCTAGAATTCCTGAGAAGCCAAGCCAAGTCCACAGGTTGTAAAAGGGCCACAGTTGCCCACCTCTGCTCTAAGGCATGATATTTTGTGGGATTTCATGGAACAATTTGATACTATTTATTTGGATTACACTCTAATTTATTTTCTCTCCCTTGAGATATACACATGTCATGTTGAGGCAGTTTACAATGGGTTCAGGAGCATTATCTATAGATCAAATTAAAAAACTTAAATTCAAGTAGCCACTATTGACTTTCTATGCCTTCACATTTCACTAGAAAGACTTCAGATGGATCTAATAAAGATGGAAACCTTTCTGGTTTGGCAACTCCTCAGGTATTAAAATTGTTCAAAGGCATTCTCTTACAAACTCCAAACATTTCGAGACTTTGCGTCAATTACCTCTACTCCATTCTGGAGAAAAGTCTTACATTATTTGGGTTAAGGAGTTTTTGCCCATTAAGATGGCCTTTGGAACCTGGCCTTTGAGACTTGTTTGGAAGGGCTCAACATTCTGTGGAGGTAAGGACAAGCCACTATGGCTTGGAATACCTCCAGACAGCTTGTAAGCTAAACCAAAGGCAGTAATGGGAATTACTATTCTTTTTTTCCATCCAACTTCAAAGGAACTTCCCTCTCAAGACAAGGTTGGGTGTCTTGTTTCAGAAGTCCAAATATTTGTTCATTGGTTTAGGCCCACCATAGTCAAGAAATTCTCAGCAGGTTACAATTATTACAATAAAGTATCCAGATACAGTTCCAGTTATTTAGCAATAAGCAGCTACCCAGTTTAAACTGCGGATAAAATTATAAAGCAACCAACAAAAAAGCAGTAGAAATAGATAGCACATGTATAAATCAAAGGTTTTGAACTATATGTGTGTGTGTGTATGTGTGTGTGTGTGTGTGTGTGTATGTGTGTATGTATGTATGTATGTATGTATGTATGTATGTATGTATGTATATCCCTTCAAGACATTAAAGGTTCTTCAGAACCTTCCATCTTAAGAATTTTTGATAGACCCATGCATTGGGTCTAAGATCCATATTACCATTCCACCAACCAAACAGAGAAGTCTGCCTGTTGTTACCTTGATGCATTTTTGCATTTTGCTATCATCATTGCTATCATCAGGTTTGTGACTACAACTGCCATTAATCACCTCCATCAATTATAGACATATTCTTACATATCCTTGATTGTTTGCCACGTTAATTTAAATACTGGAGACTTTTACTTTCACGCATACACGTCTTTTGATGTTTGGATGTTCAGATATTCATAAGGCACTTCACTTCACTGGACAAGGCAGATCCAGAAAAACATTTTTCTTAGTTAATTCACCAATGCCTGAATTTTAGCAAGCCCTGGTTTGAAGATATTGTGTTACCTCTGGAAAAAAAAAGAGAGACTTAAAAATATTTGGAGTATTGTCATTAAAATGGTGTTAGTCAATATGGTGCCCTCTAGCATCTGCCAGATCAGCATAATCTTTCAACAGGGTAATACACATTGAAGTCTCAGGTATCAGGTGAGCACGAGGTTGAGGATAGATGAATAGAATTTACGCGAAAATTGGTCACATTCTCAGATTCAGAGGATGTGTCTACAAAAACCAGAATGATACTGGGAGGTTATTGACTGCTTGAATCATAGCATGAAAACAACTATAACATGTTAGCATCCTAAGGCAGAAAAAGATGAAAATGTGGAGGTTTTTTGCTCACCATTTCCTCTGTGTACCGACTGTTTTTCTATCTCATTAGAATTTACAAATTAAAATTCTTCCTGTGGGCACCATTAGTTACAATAATGAAAAGATGGGCAGTGATATTGCTTTTTAATGAGACTTTATTAATTCAGCTGTATTTGTATGCTTATTAATTATACATAAATTAATTCCTAATTTTCTTTGCCTCTGTTTTTAAATACATTCATTGGCCAGGGGCATTTTAAATAGCGCAAAGATGTGAGCAGCCATCTGGAGTGTTTTTCTTGGTTTTGTATGAGGATTATGAGGATTAAAAGTCAACACATCTGTAGAGCATTTAACTCTCTGTGATATTATAAATCACAGATTAATTGATATTACATTTTTATTGCAACTATTGCCATTATATACAGTGACTAAGATAGTTTCAAATCTATTTTAATTATTTAGCTTCTAATGTTTTTTTTCAAAACATCCTTCTAATTCTTATTTTGACAGTACAATATAGTACTGTCCTGAAATTTATTAGTTTTGTTTTATTTCTGTATCAGCCTAGCTCAACAAATGAGTCTGGGTGGCACACATCATGAAACAATACAAAATATGGGACCAAATAAAACTGTTACTATGGACATTAATACAGACAGAAAATGGGTCCCTTAGCACCCAACCCAGTCTTCACAGCCTTGTGAAAGGCCAACAGGGCACAGGTCATTCTGATATCTGAAGGGAGAATATTCAAGAGCAAGAGTCTCCAACATTGGCAACTTTAAGACTTGTGGACTTCAGCTTTGCTGGCTGAGGAATTCTGGGAGTTGAAGTCCACAAGTCTTAAAGTTGCCAAGGTTGGAGACCCCTGTTCAAAAGGACAGGGGCTACAGCACAGGATTGACCACACTTTTTTAAAAACCTGGCAGAACCACCTCCTCTCTCAAGCATGCATTCACCATTCCCACTCCTTGTCACACTGCATAGGTAGCAAGAATTATCTTTAGTGTAAGATTAGCTTTTTTTCCCCCAAGAACCAAGGACTGGGATGGGCTCATTATGGAGAAAGGGAAAGGGTTAAAGAACCCACATTTGTTGATTTGCTATTTTCTTTATTTATCCATATTTGTGTATCATCCGCTTCAAAATGATGAAGAATGTGCCCTCAATTCTTGGTTTTGTAGATAGAAAACGCTCCAATTGCCACAAAATTGAGGGTTGCACCAGGGGTGAAATCTACTTATCTTCCCTACCGGTTCAGAAGTTTGTGCGTGCGCGTTTCATGTGCACACTTGGACTCTCTGCGCATGCCCAGAGGGTAAAAAACAGATTACTTCCTGGTTAAAACCAGGAAGTAATAACCATGCGGGTGGGCAGAGCCTTGTGCTGCCACTGCTACTGAACCACCCACCACCATCGCTACCGGTTCAATTGAACCGGTCTGAACTGGTAGCATTTCACCCCTGGGTTACACACAAATGTGGGTCCTTATGTTGCCAACCCTTGCTGTAACCAACTTCTTTATTCATAAAACACCACTGTTCACCAAGTGCCAATGAATGTGGCTTCTTTTCCTCTCACAGCTTTTTTTGGAAAATACCTCAATGAATACAATGGCAGCTATATCCCCCCTGGCTGGCGAGAGTGGGTTGGATTAATAAAAAATTCTCGTTTCTATAATTACACTGTTTGTCGCAATGGCCTTAAAGAGAAGCATGGATTTGAATATTCAAAGGTAAGGAATAATCTCATTTATCTTATTATGCACATACTGTAGGTAAAACCTATTCTTGATAGAAGAAATGATATTTTAAAATTACTTCATTGAAATAATAGTCTTAATTTTTTTTTTTGTTACTGCACGGTCAGAATTTTTTTCACATAATCTTCATAGAAGGTCAGTTAACACTATGGATTTCTGGTTATGAAGAAGAAATAATGAAAGGTACTGAATCCTGGAAACTTGACTGTGGCAACAAACAAACATGCAGACACACACAACAAAAATTACACAGCACATTTGTTTCCCATAAAAAGCAATTATCTTTTTATCTTTTGGGAGAGATATAATTTGCAAAAGATTCTCATTTCCAATACTGTCTATGACTCTATGTTACTTATAATATTTTGGCATTTGAAATTTGGAAAAAAACTTCCTCCTTCAGAAAATACCTTTTCCCCAGTAAGTCTTTCACTCTTGAGAGAAGTGCTAGTGTGAGTGGCTTAATGGAAAAACATATCTGAAAATCAGTGAAATTTATCTTTCACACTGATTTTTATAACTTTATTAAATTTTTAAACAAGTAGGATAAAAACTAACTGAAACTAATAAGTCAGGTGAGAATTTTTTAAAAAAAATAAAGAACAAAGCCAAAAGCTCAGAGAAAAAGAAATATAAAGAAATAAATTCTGGTTTTCTTTTACAACATTTAAGTTGACTTCTTACTCTAGAATTATGACATACTTTCTTTCATATTTTTTCACATGTATCTGCAAAGTACTTTTGGCGTTAGGAGTCTGAGAAACCATCCTGGAATGAGGACAAAGTGTTCACAGCTGTTTGGGCTTCCCTAATAGTGTTATGTGAAAAAAATCCTTCACTTCTTTTCACTGTTGCTTTTGCAGCTGTTCATGACCCTGAGTCCACATCATCTGATTGATTAGTCTTGTCTGGAAATGGTTGAAATTGTATGTTCATGTTACCTTGGAACTCCTCACTGAAGTACATGCCAGTTATTTGATCAAAAACTCTGCAAACCTAGAGATGGCAGATAGTTTAGTTCCTGACTTTTAAAAAAAGTCCTTTTCCTTTGTGTGTGTGTGTGTGTGTGTGTGTGTGATTTTTCATTTTATTACTATTGGCTATAGGTTAAGCTGCTTAGTTGGTATGATTGGATTTTGACATTAGTAGCTGTGCTGTTCTAAAATAAGCTGACTTCTTTAGAAATGCAAATATTCTTTTTTAATTTCAATTATAGACAAGGGGCTATAGTGTCTGAGCTTGGGTGTGATTTAAATGTTTCTAAGTCTTTGTCTTCTACTTAAAAGATGTTATTCCTCCTTACCTACACAGATAAGCTTATTGGAATGCAGCCATTCATCTGCATATATTTGATCTGGGAACTGTGCCCAGCCTCTAAAACTAGATATCCTTTAAAAGCCTATTGGACTAAGCCACTATAATATGACCTTGTGATATTGGATGCAGTTGGCAAATTGTCACTTATGTTGAATGTTTGTTTCAGGACTATTTTACAGATTTAATCACTAACGACAGTATCAATTATTTCAAAATGTCTAAGAGGACATATCCCCATAGACCTATAATGATGGTGATCAGCCATGCAGCTCCCCATGGCCCAGAAGACTCTGCACCACAATTCTCTGAGCTGTATGCAAACGCTTCTCAGCACATGTAAGTGAAACTTTATACTGTGAAAATGCTGGGGGTTTGCCACTTCATTGCTGACTGCCCTTTTCAGGTGTGTAATGAAATGGAAAGATGATGTCCTGCATAGCCTCAGCCAGTTACCTCCTTGCCCTGCTTCAGTTCTTTGAGGTTCAATGAAATACTCTAGAACCGTGATGGCAAACCTATGGCACGCGTGCCAGAGGTGGCACACAGTGTCCTCTCTGATGGCACGCTAGCCGTTGCTCCAGTTCAGCTCCACTGCACATGTGCACGTGCCTCCTGCTGGCCAGCTGGTCTTTGGGTCTCTGTTGCACATCTGCAGGGGTGGGACATGTGCGGGTGCGGGGTGCATGAACGGGGGGGCACGTGCACATGCGTGGGGGCTGCACATGCATTGCATTTTGGAGGTTCAGGCATGCCACGTACGTGCTTTGGGCACTCAGTCCGGAAAAGGTTAGCCATCGCTGCTCTAGAATATTCCATACTCGGATCCCATATTTTCTACTTTTTGAAAAGCATAATCTTTACTTTTTTGTTTGAGGAAAGCTTTGTAAACACCTTTGGCAGTGAGAAACACTGAGTTGTCATTTGGCTTGGTGTCTGGACTATAGATGCCTAAAGCAGTTGGAACACCTTCTTTTTCTTCCATCTTTCTTTTTTTCTCCTTGGGGTTGCCTGGATTTCTTTCAATTTTCTCTCTGAACCTTTTGTCTCATTTCTGTACAATTGATATTAAGTTTGCACTAAAGCTTGATGGAAGAGAAACAGTAAAGTCTTGGTATTGTACAATAGATTTTACCCATTCATGGTGGTAGATGCAGATCACATATTTTCATGCTTTCTCTGTTAAAAACCACTGAGTAGAATCTACAAAATGGGTATGAATTAATATAACGGTGATCTTTCTTTTGATGTATTTGCTAATGTGTTTATAATGTGGTAGACACATTTGTAGCCTAAAACGTATTCAGAAAATATATTTCATAATTCCCCCAGGTTATGCTTTATGTATAAAGCTATGCCTGAGATAAATGGTTGCACAAGAAAAAAAGCCAGTTTATGTCACTATTTTAAAACAATAAATTAAAAAAATGCTATATTTTGACATCTATACCCACATCCCATCCCACCCACAACTCCTCTGCTCTTGCTTTGATATCTTAATTGGTGCGATAAATTCAGACCAAAATTTGTCGGAGTAGCACCAGTAAATCTGGATAAAAGACACAATTCTTAAGGGTTTGTGAAGTGCTTTATTTTAAACTGTTTTAAGTGAAACTTTGTAAAATTCATCATTTTTGAATATTTCAGATGCAAAACATCTTCAAAATAGCTCTGTTTCTAGCTTGAAATACTTTCAAAATAATTAAAAGAGCTTATTTTTGTACTTGAAATTGGGACATTCCAACTTCCAAGCATTTATTTTTGTCTATTGCTAGTTTTGAGACACCAAATGTCTAACAAATAATCAGTACATAAATATATACCAAATATATCAGACTGGTTGACTGAAGTTGCAGACAAACCTAATTTTAAGATATAAAAATTTCCCAACCTAAATAAGCTGAACCAACCATAGTCATGCAGTCATGGAACCGAATGGTTAGAAAGAGTCATCTAGTCCAATTCCTTTTCCAGTGCAGGAATCTACTGCATTAGCTATCTCTGACAGATGGCTGTCCACCCTGTTTAAACACCTCCCATAAGAGTCTACCATCTCCTGAAGCAATTTGTTCCATTGTTTAACAGCTGTTAGCATTATGAAACACTTCCTGATATCTAATCAAAATTTGCTTCCTAACTATTCCATTTTCTACATTAGAATTCTTTGGATTTTGGAAAACAGCTATCACATTTCCCCACAGACTTCTTCAAATTAAATATCCACAACTCCTCCAATTGTTTTCTCTTAAAAGATTTTCTTCCAGGTCTCTTAATCATCGTAATTGTTCTCTGGATGTGCTCCAATGTGTCAGACTTTGTCCCATCAGCCCAGAAATGAGAGCACAAATGACTTGATATTTTCCCAGTACTTATGTTGATGCAACCTAGAGTTGCATTCGCTTTATTTCCATCAATAGTGTTGGCTCATGTTCAAATTGTAATCCACCAAGACACCCAGTTTCTCTCAGGAATATTGCTTCCCAACATGGTCTTCCCTACTCTACACTTACGCCTTTGATTTTTCCTTTCCAAATTAATTAAGTACTACATATTTTCTCCTGTTAAAATCCATCTTGTTGCTCTCAGCCTATTATTGCAGCTTGTCAGTACCATCCTAAGTTCTGAAACTGCAATAATTCGCTATCTACCCTATGTATATGTCACCCACGTTATGTTTTCTAGGACCTCACTCAAATCATTAATAAATATATTAACAATACAGAGCCTGGGATCTTTGTAGTGTTACCATTCAACACCTCTTTCCGCTTGACTGAGAGCCACTCTTGTAGGCACATAGAGGTTTATAACTGTAATGAATTCTGTATCCATCTCCTGGGATCAAAATCCAGTCCGCATTTTGCTTATCTTCTCTATTAAGTTTTTGTGGGAGACTAGGCCACACTCCCTTAACAGACTGTTGGGCCAACAGATTGCTTCTATGGTCCCTCTTAGCAGGGAGTCTTTGATCACCACCACTGGAAAGGCAAACAGCTCTATTTAGGCCAAAGCACTTACTTTTTAAATACTGAAAGGTTGACTTTCTAAAATTTTTGACTTTCTAAAAAAAGTATGCATTATCAGTTCAGCAGCTAACGTTTCTTCCCCCACCCCAAAAATAAACAGGGTAGCAGACAGGATAGCAGGATGAGGCAGGGGAGTAAGGAAGGGGAGGGAGAACTTGCCTGAAGCCTCTCAGACATGGCTGTGTTCTAAAAATTTAATTAGAAGCAGATTTCATGGAGTGGTTGAAACTAAGGCCAAGTAATAGCCCCATTTAATCATTTTTAAAGCATGTAAGCTGTACTGTTCCCATCGCCCTCTACATATGGGGGAGGGGGTGTCTGCAGCTGAGAGACTCCACTCTCTGTGGAGTCTGTCTGCACACTTGAGAGCTCTGATTGACCAGGGTTTCCAATTAAATGAAAGGTCTTCATAGACAAAGGAAGCCCTCTTTTGCAGTGAGTGGCTTGTTACCTGTTGGAAATGATGGAGGGCAAAGCAGAGTTAAATTGTTTGTCTTCACCCTTGCCCGCATTTTGCATGTGGAATCTGTGCTCACTTTAAAAATGATCAAAGAAGGCTCTCAAGCATTAAACTTAGCAGCCACTTCCACTCTTCTGTATTAGGAGATTGAGAGAAGTTTCGTCTGCACTGAACACTGTATGATATTAATATCTGAACTTGGTAACCTTGGAAACTTTTGTTAAACTCCGTATGCATTCCTGCAAATATGTACGGTAATAGTTGAAGTCAAAATTATTTGTGCTTAACTGATTATAAAAAGTGTGAAAGCACAAATCAGAAATCACTATTTTCTCCCAACCCAGCTGTCTTGAAATTCTGGGAGTATTATGCAACTTTTATTCAGTGGTTGCTGCAGGTTGTTTTAATAATGAAAGACTAAACAGAGTAAGATTTTATCTGGAGGAGTAAAAGAAGAAATGGAAGATAAACTGCCAGTTTGCATGCCTAAATTGCTAAAGGAATGGTTTCTGCAGTTTAATATGCTGCCAGCTTATCATGGCCAGATAACAAAGGAAAAATCCAATGTCTGCCTGACTTTTCTTTTGGCATAGCTCATGAAAATAATGGCAAAAGTAATATAATCATTTGGTAAGAAGTGTCATCATTTGAATATTTAACTATTGAGGATTCTTCTCTTTTGGTGGTCAAATATATTTTGGTACCATTTTTTTCTGGGTAATGGGTTTAAATTTAAGCTGTCTGACTTTTCTTTTTTGGTTTAGTTTGTATTAAGTCAGACTAACAAATGTATTTGTATAATGTTAACAATGGGAAGTAATATTAAAATGAAAGACAAAAGGATTGAAAGGCTAGAAAAAATATATTATGTACAAAAGAAATATAAAAAATGACTAAATTGTTGAAAGTTTTATTCCTTGCTACTTCATTGGGAAAATAATATAACTTGTTCATGGCTAAGACCTTCAAAATTTTAGCCACAGTCCTTTATTTTCCACATGACTGTACTTTGCAGAATTAAATGCAAGTAAGAAAGTGATAAATCAAATAAAGATAATATTCATCAGTATTTTACTGAGGTCAAATAGAACTTTTGAAACTGAGGCCCAAAAGGAATTGAATTTTGCAATTCTTTATTCTATACAGTGCCCAGAACTGGAAAAAATACCTAATAATAGGCTTGAAAATGATCTTTGTCAGCAGACAGTTGAATCCTAACACAGTAAAAATCTTAAAGCATACGAGAAAGTGTTTTAGAAGATGTAATAGTGTAGTAAGCTATTAACGCTATTAAATAATATAAAAGGAATATAAATAGAAAGTTCTTTTAAAATATAAATCATCTTCGAGTTAAATTAATTTTAATAATATTAATTTTACCTCCAAGTCTGAGAACTAGATATTCTTATGTTTGTTTGAAGTTGCAGACAAATTTAAATTGAACTTCTATGGAATTTTTATAGCAAGATAAATAAAGAATTCAGAATACAGCCTAAATATTTTTATGTAAATATTTTTATTGAAACCTAATTAATTCTGGCTGATTTAATGCAATTCAGAATAACCAGATAGGATACCAGACAAATACACAGATAGTCCTTGATTTAGCAATTGAGCTCAAAATTTGTTGCTAAGTGACATTGTTGTTAAGTAATTTTTGCCTCATTTTACAACCTTTCTTGCCACAGTCATTAAGTGAATCACTGCAGTTGTTAAATTAGTAACACAGTTGTTAAGTGAATTTGGCTTCCCCATTGACTTTCCTTGTCAGAAGGTCGCAAAAGGTGATCACATGACTCCAGGACACTGCAACCATCATAAGTATGAGTCAGTTGCCAAATTTTGAATACTTGCTCATGTCACTTTTTTCAGTACCACTATAACATTGAATGGTCACTAAACAAACTGTTGTAAGTTGAGGATTACCTGTACTGGCAAAATGCAGCTAGACATATACAATAAGGTTTCTTATTCCTGTAAGAAATGTAATTTATAATCTGGACACCACAGAATCTTACCACTGTTCATCAACTGCCATCCATCTACTTTTTTCAGAATTTCTAAGTAGTGAGACGTTCTGAAACCAAATTGGAAGGAAGAGAAAGAAAAGTTTTTATTTTATTTACATCATTTTATTATATTTTGTTTTTAATCTTTGTACTGAATGGAGGACTATAAACCACTAAGATCATCAGATCATCAGATGCACTGTAAATAAAAGTAATCTTATTTTAAAAAATCTATCAAGTTGCAACGTTCCTTGCACATTCAGAATTGTCTCATATATATATTTCCCTCACCCAAGCTTTATGTAGGACTTATTTATTGCTTGTAACTATATGAGTTTTATATAAAGATCATCTAGACCAGAGCTGTCAAGCTCCTGGTTTGCAAGCTGGATGCATCACATGCTGGCCATGCCATGCCTGGTTTAGCGAAGGGGGGAAAAATTCCCGATACATCACATGACACTGCCATGACGACGTGAGTTTGACATCCCTGATCTAGACCCTAAAAGTTCAATCAAAGAGAAGTGCCACAAGGATTAATTAAGGCAGGATACAAAGGACTTGACTGTTGTAAATATGCAAACACAGTATCTCTGAGAAAAAAAATTAAAAATGGTTCAACTTGCGTCAAACTTAAAAGTATTATGAAGCATCTCTAATTTCCCCTAAACACATTAATAAATTATATTACTATTATTAATTTTATACAGACTGAACAGGAGACAAAAATGAAGTAAACTTTTTATTCGCCATTGAATATATATCTTTTGGAAGGCCAGATTAAGATTAAGAAAAAGGAGAAGAGCAAAGAGGAAAAAATAAATTACATCTTTAAAAGGACTACAGTTTATTAACTTTTCCTTGTAGCTCCAAACTCTAACAGTATGCAAAACAAACAAATGTATGATCATGAATTAGAGAGAAAGAGCTTGAAGTTAGAAATAAATTCTGTAGAAAAGGGGGAAAATTTTCAATCCACTGATGTAGGCCTGTCAAACTTGTGGCGTCACAGTGGCCATTAAGTAGACTAAGCACGTGCTTAGGGCACTAGGCCCAAAGGGGTACCACAAAGTTTTATGTAGCCTAAGCTGGGCTTCATTTGTATAGTATGTACAAAGGAGGGGAGCACCAAGATTTGTCAGTGTTTAGGGCACCAGTGAGCCTTAATCTGCCACTGGCATCACATGACATATCAGGGACTTTTTTCCTCCTTCGCTAAACCAGGCATGGGCATGGCCAGTGTGTAACACATCTGGCCATGGGCCACGAGTTTGACAGCCCTGCATTAATGTGACTTTGCTAGTGAAATTTTTTTTAAATGCAGTTTGCTTTTTCCTGCTTCCACAAGATTTCTGGATGCCCTTAGCTTGACAGATAACAAAAATGACTGAAAATTCAATAACATTTTAAAATTTATCTCCCAAATCGTATTGGGAGATACGATTTGGGAAATAAACCTTCTTACATTCTTATAATTTTTTAAGGTAGTTTGGACAGAACATAATATGGATCTCAGTCGGAGATATTTCCCAATAAATGGCAAAGGCTTGTCAGCTATAGAAAAAGGAAGGGTGGAATGCAGGGACCCCTCTCGGTTTCTACTGATAATCTTCTGGCAGAGCTAATATCCCACCTAATATGTTCTGCTCGTTGTGGAATTCCAACCATGTGTAAATTACACTGGTGAGACTGAGATTTGAAAGACATTATTATGGCCTGAAGAGTATTAGCCTTCAATAATTCAGTTATGGATGTCTCAGAGGACATTAAAATCTTTGACTCGGGGCATTCTGTTTTCAGCAACACCCAATGAAATATTTACAGCACAAACAGTAGCATTAGTGTTATATTCTCCCATATCATAATGAGAACAGACATAACATCCTTCGTAATGATGGCTGCAGCCATTGTCTTAGGGGCAACTGGGGCAGCTTGACTTTCTGTGGACAGCATCCAAACATCAATAGACTCTTTAGTAATCAAAACGGAAGATAAACACTATTTTCTAGCTCTAATCATGGCAGTTATACAGAAATCAAGATAACAGTGCTGCAGACAGTGGCATGGTATTAGTTTTATTTTATTTGTTTATTTATGCGAGTGGCAGAAATTGTGATGCTGTGCAACCATAGGAGCTGTCTGCAGCAAAGAATGGAAAGCAGAACAAATGTTGCTTGATAACTTGGCAAAAGTTAGATGAAAAATTATCATTTTTACTAAAGAACTATGATACAGTGTCTATTAATGAGGAATGTCTGTTAATTAAGCAATTGCTTAATTACATGACATTCTTGCACCAGTAGGAAATTTTCTTTTTGCTATCGAGTAAGGAAAATAATATTTATTCTTAATTTTCCTAATTCTCATGACTGTGATATACATATAGTACAGACGTTTACCTATATATTAATTTCAAAAATGTTAATTTTCAGAAATTAGTGGAAAAAAACTTGCTGTGGTTCAGCCAGCAAGCCTGAGAGTTGAAAGCATGCTGCCTGGGCAGTTCTTGGGGTTTAAGTCCATACCTTTTAAAGTGACCAAGTTTGAAAAACACTAGTCTATGGCTTTCAAGGAAGAGATTAGTTTAGACCTTGGGAGTCACACAGAACAACACTCATATCCCGAGAAAGTTGATTCTTAGGAGCATATTGCCTTTATTATTTAAAACATCAATTAATGTCTATGGAGATTCTCAGTCAACCAGGTCATAGTTGTCCCAAAGGTGTTTTTTCAAGAGGCAACTGGACTTTCTAGTTTTTCTTTGAAGATGTTTCACTTCTCATCCAAGAAGCTTCTTTAGCTCTGGAGCTGAAGAAGCTTCTTGGATGAGAAGCGAAACATCGGCCTCAGAAAAGATCAGGTGATTATAATATTGGGATTATAAATAATATGCTGGAAGTCAGATCTCAGAATTGTATGAAATAAACTACCTACTTAATTATGATTGCTTACTCTCAACTGGTAATTTATAAATGCATTTCATAACCTTGCATTTTTTCTGAAAGTTATTTTGATGTGCAGTAGATAATAGCAAAAGGGGCAGATTTTGCATCTGGAGCTTAATCTATATTATCTTCTCCTGTAGAACTCCTAGTTACAACTATGCACCCAATATGGATAAGCATTGGATCATGCAGTATACAGGGCCTATGCTTCCCATCCATATGGAATTTACGAATACCTTGCAACGCAAAAGACTTCAAACTCTGCTGTCAGTTGATGATTCCATGGAAAGGGTAAGCAAATAAAAATGCTTAAAGCCATTCTGTAGTATTACATTCTGCTCTGTTTTGAATATTGCTGTGGTAGGAAATCCTTCTCCCAGAATTCTACTTACCAGTACATTCCATTTTTATATGAATACCCCAATTTTTATTCCATTGATTCTTTCAACAGTACCGATTAAAAGGCAAACCAAGTGCATGAAAAAGGGTACAATTTCATCTGGTAAAATAGTCAGTATATGCACAAGGGTTGTTTAGTGAAGCATTGTAGTGTACAGGTAATCCGAAACCTATGATCATAACTGAGCCCAAAATTTCTGTTGCTAAGCGAAGCAGTTGTTAAGTGTTAAGCTCATTTTATGACCTTTTTTGCCAGAGTGGTTAACTAAATCATTATAGTTGTTAAGTGTATTGTGTGGTTGTTAAGCAAATCTGGCTTTCCCCATTGACTTTGCTTGTCAAAAACCAGCTGGAAAGGTTGCAAAAAGGTGATCACAGGACCCTAGGACGGTGTAACTGTCATAAATCCATGCCAGTAAGCAAGAACCCAAATTTTGATCATGTAACCATGGCGATGCTGTTATGGCCATAAATGGGGAAAATGATCATAAGTCACTTTTCAGCACTGTTGTAACTTCAAATGGTCACTAAACAAATAGTTGTAAATCGAGAACTACCTGTATGAGTCACTCTGTGTTCTGTACTAATTGAAAACATTCTATAATAGAAGCTTCCTTGGGTTGTTTGAAATATTCATTGCAAATAATTTGATAGGTTCATTTTAGCTGATGAAAAAGAAAAGACAGAAAAGTTAAACAAATTGTATTTGAACACATTTCAAGAGACTTTGTGTCAGTGATAGTCTCTAAAGTTTAATTATACAGTCATAGTTGCTTGTTTTGCAACCAAATAGATTAATATGACCTGGAGAATATCAGAATTGCAGAGACCTACAAAAGCTTCCCAGGGTGTACATAAAATGGAAAACATGGTTTGTTTCGAGCCTGAAACAAACAGCCCCATTTGAAACAATCAAATAGAATAAAATTCAAACCAGATTCAGTCTTCATCATATCAAACTTAAAATAAATTGTATGCTCTGGGATTCCAAGAGAAAAATGAGAACTTGGAATCAGAACCTGACTGCCTTCTCAGCGTTCCATCCGAGGTCCGTAAAGGGAGGACTCAAGATTGTTGCAGGCAATATGCTGACTGGGTAAACTGCTTAGAGATGCTGTAAAGCACTGTGAAGCTGTATATACAGTAAGTCTAAGTGCTGTTGCTGCTGCCTTGTTTTATGGCCCAGGACCACAAAAGTAGGTGATGGCTGGGCTGGCCAATGAACTCGCATGATGGTTGGGAAAAGTGGCGAATAAAAACATTTATAAAAATCATAATTAAAGCATTTTCACCCAACCATTAACTTAGAAAAATCCTTAAGGTGTTCAGGAAAGGCCACAAAAGCCTTCAATTAAACACATTCCTGGGATGCTCAGCAACACAATACAAACCAAAGAGAGGAAGCTAGAAAGACTCATTGATATTCAACAGTTAACAGCCAGCCTGCAAATACAAAACCAACCAGCCAAGCTATAAGTAAGTAATCAGATGCAGACATAGACAAAAAGTTATTTTTTTATGGGTGCTACCTATCAGGTTTGTTGTTATCTTTCCAGATAATTTTTAAACTAAGTACCATTTGCTACTTTAAATGCTTAATTATAATTCTCGCAGAAAAAATACAGAATATTGGTTGAGTATAAAACAAGACCAGAATGTTTTCTGAAAACTCTGATTAAGCAATAGTTGGGACAATTATGTACTCATGTGTTTATTTGCATTTGATTGTATATTCACAAACATATATCACTCATATAACCACAGCCGAATCAGCAAAAGTTAAACAGAAGAGAAATCAAAAGTTCATCAAACAATTCCAAATGTCAGTCGGTGTATTTTTGAATACACTCTGGAAACTCAGCTTCTACAAATCATAACAGCTTGCACAGACTGCCCACTTCCAAATAGGCCCAACAAATCATTCAAGGCAAATTAATCTCAGCAACGTTACTTCACAAGGCCTCATTCTCACAAACACACTTACTTTGTATTTACCTGCCTACTATCCATATCATGAACTTAAGTTTCACCATAACAGAATTAATTTTAAAAATAGCAATAGTTTACTTACCAAATAGGCAGGCAAAGGCATGAAGACATTGTGTTAGCTGTCTTTTTCATTTGACTGGGCTGTGGCTGCTGCAAGAAATATGTCTATGTCTTTAAGGCAATAAAGTGTGTGTGGTCTCAGAGCCAGTGCATTTTATCTTGCAAGATAATTAGCAACCAGGGTCCCACTGAATACTCTCAATAAGGGTGGGAAGAATATAGTCCGCCCTTCAAAGTAGATCAGTCTAGGAAACCAATGCCTCATAGATCAGTACTACTTTTATTGTAAAGCTGCAATAATAGAATCTTACAAGTCTGAATGTATTCTCCCATCCTTCCCTTTATCTTCATGTGAGCTAGGGAAGAACTTGTTTTAAACTTTTATTCACATTAAATTCTTGGCCTGGCTTCAGGCTCCTTTTCTCTGTTTCTTGGTAGCAGCTCTTCTTTCCACCTTCTACATCTAGTGCTAGACACAAGTGAATTGGTATCTGAAGAACAGCTTTCGTGGAGCACCAATAACCATATATGGGTAGGGAATGATGATCAGGCCAGTGGCTTGCTAATGGAAGCTGTTTTCTGTTTGTGAAGAGGGAAGAGCCTATTCTTTGGTCCTGGGCTTTGTCTTGGCTTGTTCTGTTATGTAGCTGATGTAGCACAAGAAGAGTGTATTATTAAGTCAGGCCTCTGTGCAGTTCTTTTCTGCCCACCCTAACCAGCAAATTCTGCCTTGGTCCTTTTCTTCTTTCTGATTAGCATCTCTCTCTTTAGCTATTCCTCTGCCTCTTCCCATCATGACTTTGGGAAGTAGAATTTAATAGGGCAGATAAACTGGATCTAGTTATCTAGCCTTAAACTGGAGGGGTACTGTAAAGGAAAGGTGAAAGAAAAATAAAGCAAAAAGAAAGGATTTCACATCATTGTAAGTTGTTTCTTTATGTGCACGAGATAACCGAAAAGCAGGGTTAAGGGGAGGGAGAATCAATCTCCCCATCTAATGCTTACTACAGTACATTGTAGTGAAGCATAAACTCATTAAAAAGCAACAACCTGCTAAAGTAGGATGGAAGATGGGGTTGCCTTGAAGGCAGACAGCTGTAGCAGCCCTGTTGCAGGTGGTCAGTTGCAGCAGTTCCCCTCTTTCTCTGGGCCTACAAAATGAATGGCCACTTTTCCTTAAGTGGCCTAGAATGTTTCAGATCAGTCAAGCCAAAATCCTGCTGTTGAATTGGTAGGCTAGGAATTAAAAAGAGAAAAAATAAATACTCGGCACCGAAGTCCAATTGTCACTCTTATAATGGTTGAAAGCCTCAATTGTTTCAACTTTGAAACAAACTAGTTCATTTCCAAAATCATGACAAAACTACTGCGCTTTGTTCCAATCTGGAAACCACTGATGAAATGCATGCATTTTGTTTGAAGCTTCAAGCTCTAAAATGTGGCATTTCAATATTGCTTTACATCTGATGGAATTTGTATAATCTCTTCTAGAAGCATATGGTGAATGTTTCATGATAGCTGGATTTTAATTGGTTTTAGTGATATAGCCCTAACAGAATTGTTTAAATGTAAAATTTGTAAATACTGCTTTGTGTGTATTTATAATGATTGATTTAGCATTGGTTTGCATTGATCTTTTTTCCATTTATTGCATTTCAGTTATATCATATGCTAGTGGAAACTGGAGAACTGGAGAATACTTACATTATTTACACTGCTGATCATGGTTACCATATTGGACAGTTTGGACTGGTCAAGGGAAAGTCAATGCCATATGATTTTGATATTCGTGTTCCTTTCTTTATTCGTGGTCCAAGTATAGAGCCGGGATCAGTGTACGTTCTCCTATGTCTGCAGCACAGCTGTTGTACCTAATGTAAAATATTTGTAAGCACATTTGATTGTCATTCTTGTGGATGATTTATTTCATCAAGATTACTTGCAAAGCATGAACAAAGAAGAGCATCTTTTTTGTTACTTTGTAAATGTTATTCTTTCCCAACTTTGCTAGAAATATAATGGCATATTCCTTTTTTATTGTTATAGCCTTGGACAGTTATTTTGTAGCTTGCTGCTAAGACTGTAATGGGGTCATGTGAGGATATATTTCACTTACTGTGGCTTTATGGGGTATATAAATATTTAGCCACAAGTCTGCTGGCTCAAATAGCATGGCTGCTTTATCTCATTGCATAACTTAGTACATCATGAAATTAGTGTGCCTTGTCCTAATTCACTGTCCGGTAAGGGAAACTTGGAAGAAACTTGAAACTGCCATTGCATACAATGTTGTCTTAAGGTGCTGTACTTGTATAAAATGACACTCAGATTCTTTTAATTCTACAAAGATTTAAGATGTTTCTTCTAATGTGCATATTACAGCTCCGACCTTTTCTGTTCATTTGCAGAGTATCTCACATGGTGCTGAATATTGATCTTGCTCCAACAGTTTTGGATATTGCAGGACTCGAGACACCTCCAGATATGGATGGCAAATCTATTCTTAAACTTCTGGACCTTGAAAAACCAGGGAACAGGTGAGCTGAACACTTTCTTGAAGCTTATTTGGCAGCGAGTGCCTGAGTTAGATTGTGAAGCAAATGGAAAATGAAACATGTCTAAACAAGTATAAGTGACCCTTGCTTTCCCAGCACACGAAACAATTTTAAAGATCATATTTATAAAATTGTGGAAGTTGTGAGCAAATTATTTGCTTGGAGTAAAAATAAATTAGTCATCTTTAATTGCATAGCCAAACATAGCCATGAATTCCAACAGTAAATTATTGTTATTTTGATTTTAGGTTTCGAACAAACAAGAAAATCAAAGTCTGGCGTGATACATTCCTGGTGGAAAGAGGGTAATTATTGAAGTTGAGTGAGTTCTAGGAAAATTGCCTGGTGGGCAATCCTCTTAATTCTGAATGCAAAGACATCCTTTGTTCAACCTTGTTTTGCTACTATTAACAGTGCAGGTTGTGAAGCTGATTCGTTGCCATGCCAGGTTGACCCGAATTGTAAAAGAAAATCTCCTTGGATGCTTTAGAGAATTGGAAGAAGGCAAAACGGGAACAATATTTGGGCTTTTTCCTCCCAGATCTCACTGGGTGTGAGCTGCTTTCCATCTCCTCAGTTTTAGTAATACAAACTTTTCCCAATGGCACCCTTTAGGAACTGAGGAAAGGAAAAAAATAGCAAAACCCAACATTTTAATAAGAATGAAATTGGTTTGGTTTTAGGACTGCACTGTCCCTCACAAACCAGCATGCCTAGAGAAGAGAATCTGTTCTTCTCTCTCTCTCTCTCTCTCTCTCTCTCTCTCTCCCTCCCTCCCTCCCTCCCTCCCTCCCTCCCTCCCTCTCTCTCTCTCTCTCTCTCTCTCTCTCTCTCTTTTGTCATTTGACAAAAGACACTGCTGGTTTGTCTCTTTTCATCCTTGCCCCAGTCAGATATTATCACAACTGAAGTACATAAGAAGGGGTCTGCCAAAGTATATGCGCTGAGGAAGGAATCCTTCCAACTCTTTGACAGCTTCCATGTTAAAAGCTTGTGGTGAACAAGCCTAGGGAGATCATCCAGTGTAGTACTAAAGGCGAGGCTAGATGCCAACTCTTACTCTGCCCTCTTTTTTCAGCCATTGCCAAGAAATGATAGAAAGGGTTTTGCAAATGTCATATCCCTGTTTGAGTTTATCCTGCATATTTTAATGTAGAACATATATCTTTCTTCCATCCATGCATTTTCTCATTAGGAGACAACAACTGCATGAAATGCAGCATTGAATCCTGCCAGTCACCTTTGTCCAACATATACAAATATATCATATACATATACACGTTCTACACTAAAATATGTTCCCCCTCCAGTGTTCGGATCTCCCTGCAAAATTTGGAAATCTGTACATGGAAAGAACTGAGCATGCAGAAGATCTTTTTAGATATCCTGGTGAACATATATAAATCATATAAGACTGCTCAAAGATCTCTTTATGTTAGTGTTTCTCAGTCTTTGGCAACTTTAAGATATGTGGACTTCAGTGTGGAGGCAGGAGAATTCTGGGAGTTGAAGTCCATCCATGCAGGTTGGGGAATTCTGGGAATTGAAGTCTACCCATCTTAAAGTTGCCAAGGTTGAGAAACACTGCTTTAGATTAAAGCTCTTCTCATGCCTCACCCTGACCTGTGTTTAAAATGCATTGCATTTTAATTCTCTGATAAACAATTGTCAGTCCTTGTTGATTTACTTCCATCTTATAGAGACACTTCTGTTTTGATTCATGTATATTATTCATACATTCTCAAAAGTACTGTCTCTTTTCTTTTTAAAGCAAATTTTTGCGTAAGAAGGAAGAATTGGGCAAAAATACCCAGCAATCAAATCATTTGCCTAAATATGAGAGAGTAAAAGAATTATGTCAACAAACGCGATACCAAACAGCTTGTGAGCAACCTGGTCAGGTAAGCAGCAGATAATCACATAATATTTAATTATACCTCATAATTCTTTAAGAGCTGATGTGATAATGCAGTGATTAATTTGATAGCACATGTCATATGAACCAGCTTTTTAAGGGACTTTTTACTACCAAGTAAAATCAAACTTTTGATAGTGTGTGCCATAGCATGTGCACAATCAAACATGTGATAAGAAAGAAGGAGAACTCAGATACAAACAGGGTATGTAGAAAATAAATACAGGGTCAGTCAAAAAGGACTCAAATGTCTATACAGCAATGCCAAAGGATGAGAAATAAACAGGCTGATCTAGAAATTCAAGTACATGAGGGCAGATATGCTATTGTTGCATTATGGAAACTTGGTGGGATGAAACCCATGAATGGAATATACAGCTAGAGGGATGAAAGAAACAGACCTAATAAAAGAGGAGGTGGAGTTCCATTATATATAAGAAATAATTATTTATCTACAGAAATAGAGCAAAACAATGATGAAAACCATCTTGAATGCATTTGGGTCAATATAAAATGAAAAAAGGATGATATAGACCACCCAAACAAACAAACAAACAAAAGAGATTAACTTTTTGTGAGTCAATTAATTAAGGTATGTAGGACTCATTAAAGAGATTCCTGATAAACCTAGCAATTATGAGTTTTATCAACTCCATCCTACCATGACTTTCTCAGACTTCCCTTTCATCTCAGCCCATTACCCAACCTTCATATATATAAACAGTCACAAGTCAATCCTCTTCTCCTTGTAAAATCAAACAATTGTAACATATTTATTTCCTCTAATCACTTACTTTTAAAGGTAGTCCTTGAGTTATGATGGCATTGGGGGAATCTGACAAGAAGTTGCAAGTCCCACTTATCTTATAAGCAGGCTGGCAGTTAAGTAGATCACTGCTGCTGGCAAGAAAAATGCACAAGAGTGTGCAAAAGAGCTATGGCAGGAGTTCAGCAGGGTTGGGGTGGCTGCTGCCACATGGGCAAAGGTGTGTGATGGTGTGTGAGTGACCAGGGGACATGGTGGCAGTACAAAGGGGCTGGGTGCATTGGTGGGGAGGACTTACCCCAACAATTTGCAGTCTACCCTACCATCTTGACCCTTGACTTCGCTTGCTTCCTTTGCCAGCAAGGAAGGTTGCAAATTACAGTCACATAGGTGGCTGCTGCAACTGTCATAATCGTAAGCCGGTTGCGAAGCACACAAATCATAATCATGTAATTGTGGGGGTGCTGGAACTTTGAGAACTGGTCATAGCCACTTCTCATTCAGTGCCTTTGTAACTTTAAACAGTCATAATTGAATGGCTGTTACCAGGGACTGCCTGTGTATTCCAACTACCTTCACTCAGCATCTATTCATTCTTAACTACCCTCTTTTACCACGTTGAGGAAATTTAAGTCTTGCTGAAGCCTATGAATAAGTTCTTTACTCCGTATTGCACTTTTTATGTCTTGGCAGTCAAACTTTCCAGCATATTTAAAGCTTGAATTGTCAGCTGGCAATGTTTCTTTCCCTAACCTTCAGGCGTGCCTATCATTGAGACATATTTTGTAGACGATGTAATTAATTTCCTTATTACACGAAAGGCTTTTGTGGCTGTTTCAAGCTGTCACAGCATATTAAATAAACGGTGTTCACTTTTTAGACTTCAGAGGGACATTTATTGCACTTTAATGATGTTGAATACAAAGCTACATTAACACTCTTACAAAAACCAATAAAGGGAGATCATCATAATCTACCTCATGTGGTTTATTGCAAATCTTTCCAGAATTATGTTTGTCACCATTGGTTCTCTGTAATTTCTTCAACAGACAGGAAAAGTTTTTTTTTCTCCAGATAGCTTAGTCTGTGAAAATAATTTTAGAAAAGAATGTAGCAGGAAGATGGAAGCACAAGGTCCAGGATTACTCTGAGAAAACACAGCAATATCAGAAAGCTACTATACATACAGTCAAGATAAACATGCCTATATATTCTTACATCTATAAATTGTTTAGGTTTCACGGTCAGAATTAAGCAATAAGTGTCTGAGAAAATCAGTAAAATTCTTTGCTATTTTAATGGATGATCTTGGGCAAAATGTGGTTCTCTGTCTATAATATAGGAATAATTTGCCTATTTCCAACAGGCGTTCTAAAAAATCAATGATAAATAAATAAATTCAAATTTTAGCAAATAGCACATGCTTTATCACTTTGGTACGGGAATTATCTTTCTTCACTTCTACATCCTCCTATTACAATATAAAACTACCCAGTAGTCCTCCCATGATTGAGATGAGTGTATTACTTTTATATCGGAGTGTAAAAACATGGGATTACTTATTAATTACCTGTCTATTTTCTGAAAATTATATATAGAATTCTGGCAGTTCAAGTAGTGGCTTCAATATTCAGTGAGGTATCCTGTATACTCAGGGTCACTCCTCATCAAGGATGAAGTCAACAGAGGGTTGTTTTATCTATTTAACTCAAGAAATGCTAAGCACCAGATTAGATGCTATAAATTTTAGTTATTCTAGTCCTTTTGTTGGGCTAACTAACAGTGGTGACAGGTGCACCATTCAAAGATCTGAAATACCAAGTTAGGGATAAATCCCACTGGAGAAAATGTATCTATGTAGTCACTGAGAGTTGACATGACTTGATGGATTGATCTTCTTGTTAATGATGTAGCTTCCTGGTTATCATGAATGAAACACTTCTCATTGAATAGAGCTGTAACTTTATAAAACAGATTACTACTTTTCTACTAGAATTATTTTTCCACTAGTAGCTGTGGATATCTTTCTCAGAATAAAGAAACTTTGTATGCATCTCAAAACATTAAATTATGAGCAGAGTTCTGCCGACCCCTTTTGGTAACAGCAAGAAGTGCAGCCTCAATCAGGCAAGTACTTTTTGAATTTGGCAAATTATAAATGTATCCTCTCCCAACAAAATTCACCTGAAGGATTTCTACCTTGTTTGCATTTCATTTTTTTAAAAACTAATTTGCCTAAAAACATTTAATTTTTTATTTATTTATTGTCATAGGAAGGGTGGAGTATAGTCATTTAAAAACCAGAAGTTAAATCAGAGTTAAAAAATAAAATTCTATACTTTTAAAAGCTATAAAATATAAAATGTATATGAATTTAAAAAACAAAGTATATATAGAAACAAAAATCTAAAAGATGCTTTAGATGAGGTGTAGGGGACCTTAAAATGTTAATACAGTATGTGGAAGTCTAGGTCAAGTTACAGAGCATTATGATATAACTAACTAGGTGCTCATTAAATCTACCATAGTTTGTAGCACTGGTCATCATCTGACAAATTTTGAGCACTGCTGCACACAATCTGCTAACCTGTATGTTGTAGCAGGGTTGGTATTTGAGAGCAGCATCCTGAATATCTATGCAGTAATGGTAAGATGAGGCTAGTATGAATGTCACTGTAGTACACAGATTAATGTTTAACAAGATTCAAAAAGAAATAAGTATTCTCTAGGTTATTATTGCCATCTGTATTTCACTGGACTGTCTTTTTCTTTTCACACAGAAATGGCAGTGTATTGAAGACACGTCTGGAAAACTACGTATTCACAAATGCAAAGGGGCAAGTGACATTCTTGCTATGAGAAAAAGAACACGGAGTATACATTCCCAGGGATATAGCAGCAAAGAAAATGACTGTGATTGCGGGGAGGCTGATTATCAGACCAGTCGGGCCCAAAGGAAAAATCAAAGAGGCTTCATGAGGACATCCAGTGTACAAAGTAGGTGATGATAGATTTGAAAAAGCCAGAGATCTTGATGGGCAGCAATGCTAAAGAATCATTTGTTCCTTATAGGTTGAAAAAAAAAAACTGCCACTGTATTCAGACTCACTTGTTAGAATGGGAATCACATCTTTGAATTATCATCCTAAAAAAATATTCAGGTGGTAATCTGGAAGAGCAAAGGTAAAATCTTATAAAGAATGTCTTAGTTTTACATTGCAGAGCATTCAAAAATTAAATTTCCCACCTGCAGAATTTGTGCAATTCATTTTACTAGTTCATTCTTCTATCTGCATAAAACAAGCATATTCTTTCAATACTAGCTATCTTTTAAAGACATAACTGAATTGAAATTGCCCATCCAGTCCAGCCATCTAGAGAGGCCCTGCAGAAAGGCCTGCCTCCTTGCAATGTACATTTGATATGGATGAGATCATAGCCTTTCTCAGTGGTAGCTCACCCTTTGTGGAATATCTTTCTGATGGTTAAGGTGCTCAGTCTTTTTTGCATTTTACAAACTAGTGAAAGTTGGTATGGTCCTAACTGATTCTGGACAGACAACCATTATAGTTATTTTTATATATCGTTGTTTTCATTATTTTCACGTTCCATTTAAATGATATTTGTTTTCTGTTAGCCACCGAGAGTCTGTCAAGATTGGAAAGGATTACAATTATTTTTAAATAAATAATAATTTTAAAAATGTAGCAAACCATCTTTAGAAAACCTTTGCCCTGAAATGCAGAATTGGAAATAGCTATCACTATTTATATTATTTATATGGATTGTATAGACATCAGCATTGTAAGAATGTCAGGCCTAGTTCCAATGTCTTGGTTAGCTTGGTGTGCATTTTATAGTTTCCTATTGATGAATCTGTGATCTTATGCAGAATACAAACCCCGGTTTGTCCATACTCGCCAAACTCGGTCCTTATCTGTGGAATTTGAAGGGGAAATATACAGTATAAATCTGGAGGAAGAAGAGGAGAAGGAGGAGGAAGAGGAGGAGGAGTTGCACATCCTTCAGTCCAAAAGCATTGTTAAGCGGCATGGAAGTTACAGTGAAGAGGAAGAAGAGGAAGCAGAGGAAGATCATCCAGAAGATGGTGATGGAATTAAAGCAATGCTTGCTGATGGGACTAACACAGTTGGCCAGCCAGATTCTGTCAAAGTTACTCATAAGTAGGAGTGCTTTACTTAATTGCTTTTCATTATTTATTTAGAACCATCTACTATGTGTGTTATCCCAGGTAGCAGAAGTAAAGATAGCTCCAGGGCAGATTTCAGGGATAGAAAAGAGAAGATCTTTGAGAGAAGATCTTTGGGGATACATTTTGAGCAAAAAGAATGTCTGCTTTTCATTTTAGGATGAATATCAAATACTAAAGCCAAAGAGGCTTTTGGTTTATCTAGAATAGAGGTCTTCAAACTTGGCAGCTTTAAGACTTATGGACTTCAATTCCCAGCATAGCTGGCTGGAAAATTCTGGGAGTTGAAGTCCACAAGTCTTAAAGCTGCCAAGTTTGAAGACCTCTGATCTAGAAGAACTACAGAAGATCTGAAACATTAAAGCTACAGCAGCACAGAAGCCCTTCTGCCAATTTCCCTGTGTGGCCATTCCCTCTTTTCTCAACTTCCCTCACTGAGCAGGAAGGTCTGAAATTATTTTTACTTGAGTGAAAATTCAAGATGAAACAGGTTTATGATTGCATGGAGGATTTTATTCAAATCTGGACAAGAGCATTTTATGCTTAATACAGGATATTTGAGAACCAAGAGGACAAGAAAAGCACATTTGAAATAGGACTAGTTTGTATAATAAAGAGGAGAATATTATGGAGAGCTTTTAAAAGGTAGGATAAATATTTGATGGAGATAGAAGGAGAAAAATAACAATTCTAGGGATAGTTTTGTATCATTTAAGCCCTGGGAAATGCGGTAGATACATTCGAAAGCAAATACCTTTTCTTGAACTGTCTGTATACTTAAGTGTTCATAAGCTCAGATTTAATGTTTAGATACACTTCCTAAAACATTGGTATTGCTTTCTGTATAGAAAGTTTTTAGGCCAAGCACTTACCACAGTTAACTGTTAAAGCCGTGAGAGTTATTTGCTTTTTTTTATTGCTGTGCAGAGTCCTAGAATTTAGACTGGGCAAAGTGTCTCAAAGATATCACACTTTATTATTTTTTCTCTTCATTCTTTCCTTACAGATGTTTTATTCTTTCAAATGACACCATCCATTGTGAAAGGGAGCTATATCATTCAGCCAGAGCTTGGAAAGATCACAAAGCCTACATCGATAAGGAGGTTGGAAGGTCTTTTTCTTAATTTAGAATTAGAACTGGTATTTTGAGACAGAATAATTTATCAGAAGATATATATTGAATGAACATTTGGAATGATATTGGAATAGGGTAGAAATTTCTGCATATTGATATGCACAATATATGTTCTTGGAGGTAATGGTAAACTATTGTTTCAGTGTTGAAACTTATCTGTGGTTCTCTCTTTTCCAGTATCTTTTCTTGTATGGAAGATCCCCACTGTCATTCACTATGATTTCTTATAAAATGCTAATTTGGACAAACTGTAGTCCTATTTATAATGATACAAACAAGGCAGCTTCTGACAATGGGCCATGTTTCTGGGTTTGATTCCCTAAACCAGTCTTCCCCCACATGAAACTTTTAAACACATTGGGATCAAGGGTGGGTTCTACTTTTACTACCAGTTCGCAACAGGATTGCGCCCATGCGCTTGCTTCGCTCACACATATGCAAATCGCCGATGACGACATCCGGAGCAGTGGGCAGGGCCTCCTGCCAGTTTTACTACCGGTCCGAACCAGGGGCGGCAACCCACCACTGATTGGGATTGTGTAACAACAATTCTGTTCACTTCAAAAAACTAATATAAGAAATGGAGCATGGGAAAACTACAGAATCTAAACAAATAGACTGAAAGTAGTCAATGTCTTTTGATAATCCACATCACATTAAAGAACATTCTAAACACTCTATGGCCTTTGGAAATAATTGTTTAGTGGCAGTTCACCACATCTGAACTTGCTATTCTAGTGGCATGTGTAGATACACAACGATTTACAAGATGTGTTTGTAATATATGAATAATTTAAAGAGTTAAAAAGCAATAATAATTTTCATATACATTTAGCAATGATATGAAATAGTTTAATGGGAAGATTTATCAGGAACAATATAAGGATTGGGCATATAATATTGCTATTAAACCAGACATTCTTTTTTCAGATTGAAGCTCTCCAGGATAAAATTAAAAATTTAAGAGAAGTAAGAGGACATCTTAAAAGACGAAAACCAGATGAATGTGACTGTAGCAAAAAGAGGTATATAAAACTTTCTCAATAACTTAACGTATTATCATCTAACTTGGGAGCATGACTGATTGTTCTTAAGTTGATTTTGTAACTAACTATGACAGCATATAAAAAAAGTCATACAGTATTGTTAGACAAAGTTTTTTTTTTTTTTTTTAAATTTGATTTATATGCCGCCCTTCTCCGGAGACTCAGGGCGGCTTACAGTGCGTTAAGCAATAGCCTTCATACTTTTGTATATTTATACAAAGTCAGCTTATTGCCCCCACAAACTGGGTCCTCATTTAACCTACCTTAGAAAGGATGGAAGGCTGAGTCAACCTTGAGCCTTGGAGAGATTCGAACCAGCAGTAAATTGCAGGCAGCTGTGTTAATAACAGGGTGCTTTAAACCACTGTAGTACCAAAGTATTGTTTTATTGGATTTTGTTTCATTATATAATTTCATTATTTGATGGAATTCTACTTATATAGTAGAATTTCAGAAGATTTTTGAAGTAAGTAATCTTAGAGGCATTTTTAAAACAAAATTTAGGACCATATTGCTATAGTCCCAGATCTTTTATATTGTTAATATAAAAAAATATATATTAAGTTTTATATTGTTAATATAAAAAAACTTTGACCAAAAAGTTTCTGGTCAAAATAAATGCTTCTGAAATCCAAGAAATTTTTACTCCAGATCCATATTTTTTTAAGACGCCCACTGTATCAGTGCTGCTCATAATCAGATTTTAAAACATCAGACATGTTTTTGCTTTAAATGGGCATTTTACAGAAAGTTTTTTATGTTATAATATTTCTTTATAGCTATTACCACAAAGAAAAGGGGGCAAAAGTTCAAGAAAAGCTTAAGACAAGTCATCTACATCCATTCAAGTGAGTCTTGTTAATTTATTATCTTTCCAGCATATATTCATGAGATCTATCTTCCAATCATCTTGTCATTCACATACTATGGGAAGTTTGTCAAAAAAAATGTTTCACTTAATAATGTGGAATTTGGAATAAGTAAATAGCTTTAAAGAATTCCTTAGTTACATTTCAATTTTTTTGTTGTATCTCATATTGATGGCTTAACTTTTTGTTCATTTCACTGGAATTGTGATGTACCCAATTCTTTTTACTTCAATTTTGTTCAGTTTCTAAACATACATTGTTTTCAATCTACCTGAATGCAGTACATTCCCATCTATTTCTATTGGTGACTTAGACGCACATTAAAACTTACAAGGTTAAATATCATAATTGTGTACAATACAATGAGCCTATAATTACTCCATGTTCCTAGGACTATAACCAAGCATCACTTGTCTTGGTTGATCAGGATGGATATATTCAACTTACTGTCAAGGCATACAGATGATCCCTAAGCTAGGCCAATGAATGGCCACATCTAGCAATTTTATTTATATAACTTAAGTTAAAGAAAAGTGGAAGAGAGTGGATCACTAAGCCACCCCACCATGGAGATCTATCTCTCCTCAGCAAACCAGCTGGAATCAGTTCTGGAGATAGGAGGAAAACCACCATTACATTGTGCCTCCTAATCCCCAATAAAATTGTAGTTGATGGTATTAAAGGTTACTGAGAGATCAAAGAAAGTCAGAAGGAAGATATCTCTCTCCCCCCACACACACACAATAGGTTCATCAAAAAGGGTTACATCCAGTGGTGGGTTTCAAAAATTTTTACTACCGGTTCTGTGGATGTGGCTTGGTGGGCGTGGCAGGGGAAGGATACTGTAAAATCTCCATTCCAGGGGAAAGTTACTGCAAAATCCCCATTTCCTCCCCATCAGCTGGGCAGATCAGCTGGGACTTGGGAGGCAGAGAATAGATGGGGGCGGGGCCAGTCAGAATTTTTACTACCGGTTCTCCGAACTACTCAAAATTTCCGCTACCGGTTCCCCAGAACTGGTCAGAACCTGCTGAAACCACCTCTGGTTACATCTCCAGCTGAACCAAGTGAAAGAGCTCTCACTTAATTCATTTTCTCCAGGGCCTTTTGCTGAAACACAACCTCCTTCTAAAAAAGGAAGATTGGAGACTGGATGAAATTGTCTGTTTCATAGGATCCAATCATAGTTTATTGGGGTGATTAGACCACTGTCTCCTTCAGAGCCTGCAAAACCACCTAATCTCATAATACTTCATTCACCACTACTGCAAATCATCTCCCAGGAAGCCTAGATCAACCAAGAGAGATATAGATTCAAAACACAGATGGCCTCACTTAACAGCTTCAAATAAGCTGTCCACTTTCTTTTAATTAGTTATAAATTTGTTGGTAGGTTTTACAGGGTCTAGTTTATGTGTTCTTTTTTTAAAGAAAGTGATTATCTGTTTGTATTCCACTATTCCCTTAGGGTTAAAGCTGTTTAGGTTTTAATGTGTTTTGTTTGTATTTTCTATATACGTATCTCAATTCAATGGATTTTATTATTATGGTTGATTGCAATAAGACAGATGTTTAGACCTGAATTTGGTATTTTTATCGATCAAGTTGTTTCCAAGGACCTGAGATAGGCAGGTGTTGTTTGATGCTATTAAGGATATCGTTGCAAGATGCAGGCTATTCCAAGTAAAGCTGCAATTGACTGATGGTGATTATATGGCAAAGTATCATATCCCAATCATCATCTGTAAGATCTCAGGGTTCACAGCTTCTAAGAGGAAGTTATTGAGTTAATCAGCCTAAATTTTAGAGAGGGCCATTCTGAAGCATAATACCATTGTTAAAAATGCATATTAAGTTATTAACTACCTGATAGATGCATAAGTAAAGAATAGGAAAATAAACCTCAGTAACCATATTCCAGCACTGACAAAGCAGACTATAACAGCAGGAAGCGTTGTTTATGTCAGGTTTCTAGCATATAGGTTTCCGAACATGATTTTATGTCTTTATATTCTTAATGATAGAGTTGAGTAGCTGAGAAGTAATATCTGTGTTCCACTGTGAAATAAGCTAGTTCTTCTTTTCTGGGGGAAAAACAAAAAGCAAAAGCAAAACTAAAATCACAGAGGTTAGATAAAACCAGTGGTGGGTTGCTCCCGGTTTGGCCTGCTTCGGCCGAGCCGGTAGCGGTGACGCTATTACATCACTGAACCGGTTCTCTTTCTTTGGGAGCTGGGCCCTCCCACCCGCCCCCACATTATTCCAACCTTATATTTCTTCTTTTTTCACCCAGCTGAGAGGTGCGGCAGAGCAGATTGCCACACCTCATCTGGCAGATTCGCAATGCGCTTGCACAAAGCGCAAGTTTGGTGCACATGCGAGCGAAGCCAGCATCCACACGATGATCGCACGCAAAGCACGTGACCGAAGAGGCGATCACGCACGAAGCACATGTACAAAGAGAACCGGTAGTAAAGCCGGTTAGAACCCACCCTTGGATGAAACAGATTAACTTCTCAAAACCTGGTGCAATCCGTATATTTTGCATAATACAGCATTTCCCCAAAAATAAGACCCACCCTGAAAACAAGCCCTAGCCTGAATTTTTTGGAGTGGGCCTAATATAAACCCTACCCCAAAAATAAGCTCAGGGGAATGGACGTGGCCCACTGGCCCCTTGGTGCAGTGCAGATACCTATAAATCCAAGCACAGAGGCAGAGGTGGGTGGGAGACAGCCTCCGCCATGCACTTTTCGCCCAGAGGGAGATGAAGCTTCGTCTGCTTGTGAGTGGGACGCTCTGTTTCAAAGTGTCCCATTTGCAAGCAGATAAAGCTTTGATTCTCCCTTATTTTTCCATCTGGTGAAAAGTATTTGGATGTCTATGGGTCGCTTGGGAACAGAGTGTTTTGCCTGGCTGCATTGCTTGGTCTCCTGTTCTGGTGCCGCACTGATGCTGGAAGAAGTGAGCCAGCGATGACATGGGCTTCTGTTGCATATAGTTGGTGCTGCCGCTGCCAGGCAGTTGTCGGGGCTTGGAGCCATGAGGCCCTGAGGTAAGCCAGTGTGTGCGTCAGGCAGATCCACCCCACCTCTCAGAGGTGGAACTCAAAACAATTAAGACATCCCCAAAAATAAACCCCAGTGCTTATTTCGGGGCCCAAAAGAAAATAAGACTGGGTTTTATTTTCGGGAAACACGGTAGTTCTCATGAGCAGTAGTGAGCTTAGCCAATGTGACTGATGATACTCTTCCAGAACTAGGGAAAATATACTACATAATGTTTCTAGACTATAAGCCAAATTATAGTTGTCAATTCATATGTCAAAAATCTACATGTACATAGACTTAGTTTATTGTAGCCTCGATTATTAAAGTATGCTATTGTTTAACATCTATTAAATATTCTTGAATGATTAGGGAAGCTGCTCAAGAGGTGGATGGTAAACTTCAGCTCTTCAAAGAGAATCGGAGGAGAAAAAAAGAAAGGAAAGGGAAAAAGCGCCAGAAGAAAGGAGACGAATGCAGCCTTCCTGGACTCACTTGCTTTACTCATGACAACAATCACTGGCAGACTGCGCCATTCTGGAACTGTGAGAACCACTTCCAGTAGATGCATGCTCATGGGAATAAGAATTGATGTGAGCTCTTAGGGAGTTGGAGGGCATATTTGTTCTGGATCTCATATGGAGAGGAGAGGAAAAGACAATGAGCTCATTAAAAATGGGTATGTTAATTCAAACTAGAATTACATTTAGAGCTGAACTGATTAGATTTAATTTACATATTTCTGAGTGAAAACAGTTTCCAAGTAAATGAAACCAGAGATCTCGTGTGACTCAGTAGGAGTATAAAGATTTGCCTGATTAAATAGATGGTGTGCAAAAGGGCAAAAGGGACAGCAACATATGTGACAATGCTAGGAAACCTAGCAGTGCCCATTATCTATTTAGTGATACATCTGGCGGAGGTCTCGTAGGCAAACGGGCCAATCAATTGCTCCATTCAAGAAATCTAGAGCTTAAACTCATCCAGTGGTGGGCTGCCTAGGCTCTGCTTTGAAGAATTCCTAGGAGAGAAAATTCTCCTGCTGGCTAATTTGAATTCCAAACTGGTCTTATCATCAGGAGGTTGTTTTCTAACATTATAAGATGGGTTGCAGAAATGTTTTTGTGCACTTGTAACAGCTATATCTGTACTTTGTGCAAGCATCGTCCATTAATATGCAATATCATTGCATGAAGCTTGTGATATGCTTATGGAACTATCAACGGATTGCCCTTGCTCAAGTGAAGTGAATACATGCATGTTTAAATTTATTTTTTCCCTATAACAGTGGGATCATTTTGTGCTTGTACAAGCTCCAACAACAACACTTACTGGTGTTTGCGAACAGTAAATGAAACACACAACTTCCTCTTCTGTGAATTTGCTACAGGATTTTTGGAGTATTTTGATATGAATTCTGATCCCTATCAGGTAAATGTATGTTAAAAATGATACAGTTGTGGAACATTACCTTAGCTAAGCCACTATTAATACATTTCAATTATATCCCATTTTATATCTTGATGGAACTCAAAATAATGTAAGCTGGTCTCCCCAAAAACTCCCCCAAAACATCCAGGTTTTGATCCAAGCGTACAGTCATGGGTATTTTGCAGTTCTCTTAGTACATGGTGGATATGGCACTGAGAAAATATTACAGGTAGCACTTGATTTAAAACCAGTTGCTTAATGACTGTTCAGAGTTATGACAGACTTCCCTGGGGTACTTATAACCCAGTTCCAAAGTTTTGAAAGCTGTTGTCCCCCCAACTGGGTCATATAGCTGTATGTTAAGCTCCCTGCATTTGCAGCTCTTTGCTCCCATGGTCACATAACTGCCTTTTATGATGATTTTGCCAAAAATTGGCATTTACTTCCAGTTTTTGGCAAAAGCAGCCCCTTGGCTCATGTAATGATCACTTCAAAAAAGATTGGATTGGTCATGTGGGTGACCTGATTTATGACCATCACAACTTATGATCATCAGAGGCAGACTGCATTAGAGCTGTAAATCAAGGATTATTGTACATCCTTGCATATGTAAAAGTAACTGAGTTGGAAGGGACATTGGAGGTCATCTAGTCCAACCCCCTGCTCACGCAGGAGACCTATACTAGGGATTCAAACCGCCGAACTGCCGACCTTTCTGATCGACAAGCTCAGCCTCTTAGCCACTGAGCCACCTAGCCAGGTTTCCAAGGGGTCTTCCAAGGAGATTAATATAACTACAAAAGAAATGTGAGAAGCAGTTATAACTTGCTGAAAGTCCACATACATAAGCATAATAATTTAAAGTTCACAACTTTTGCAGATGCAGGCATTCATTTATTTCTTTCCCTGCCCAGCTAACAAATTCGGTTCATACGGTAGAAAGAGGCATTTTGAACCAGCTACATCTTCAGCTAATGGAGCTACGAAGTTGTCAAGGTTATAAGCAGTGCAATCCAAGACCTAAGGGACTTGACACAGGTAACACTATGGTTTAAAAACTGGCATATTGTGTTTTGTTTCCCCTAATTAGTCCAAGGAGCAGCTAAGTTGTCTGTGAAACCTCTTGCTGTGCAATAATTCAAGGATCAAAATATGGATCCTGACAATGACTTTCAGATAAGGAAAGCTCAAGAAAAAAATGCACTTCATTGAACATATGAATAATACATATCAAAATATTTTATTTTTATTCATTTATATTCCACCGTTATTGATTTTATGAATAACCCAAGGTGACAAACCAATCTAATATTTTTTTCTTCTATTTTCCCCACAACAATTACCCTGTGAGGTGGGTTGGACTGAGTGACAGTGATTGGCTCAATCATCTAAGGAGTAGAAAAACCTGCAATTTCCTTATTTACCCATATGTTTGCTCTAACATATTTCTAACAGACGGGCATTTTTTTTTATTTTTTTTTTTGTCAATATAAGCTAGGATAGATTTAAGAAATCATCCCTACCTTAAATAATAATTACCCATTATCAATAAATTAAGCTAGGTTATTTTCTTCAAAAATCCATTGGGAATTTGAGATACGAGAATGATAAAATAAAAATAAATGACCTACAGTGGTCATGTTTTTATTATACAAATAACCATTAAGATGATTAGATTATGAGACCTTAATATGTGTTCCTTAATGTTAGTTTGATGTTGCATATCCTCTGTATTGTCAATTAAAATATTTTCTTTAGCTGGTTTTAGAGCTTTTTGGTGACTAGGAAATCTACTGGAGATGGACAAAGCCTGAAATGTGCCTCTTTTTACATATCTTAGAGCAGTGATAGTGAACCTTTTAGACACTGAGTGCCCAAACTGCGCGCGCATGCCCAAACTAAAAGGTGTGCATGCATGGACATGCGCATGGGCAGGCAGGCAGGCATGCGCAGCAGAGACCTGAAGACCAGCTGGCCGCAGGAGCCAGGGCACCCCAACACTGCAGCATGGCAAGATCTTTTTCTTTCGTGAGCTTCTGTTTCGTCGTTTGCAGGGAAACAGACGCTCACGAAAGAAACGCCACGGAGATCTGACCTAGGGCGACGGCGCGCGTGCCAGCAGAGAGGCCTCTGCGTGCCACCTCTGGCATGCATGCCATAGGTTCGCCACACGGACCTAGATCAAACACAGCAACTCAAACAGCATTACCAGGTTGTGCTACAATAAGTTGGAAAACACTCTTTTTGAAGCACAGCAGGAAAGCAGGCAGCCTCTGTGTTGTGATGGGGATGAGTTGAATGTGATGTGCTTTCAAACTCTGTTGATACAAATAAAATATTTTCCACCTATGGTTAGTAGATTTTACTTTTACTTATTAAACAAATTTATTTGCACAGAATTCTGTACAGAACTATACAGAAAAGCCCTCAGTCAAAGAAGGAATGCAGTAGGGTTGGATGGGATTCTTAGCAAATAGGCCCATCAGATATCCTGATGAAGTTACAGTGACCACCAGGAGGGTTTCAATCCCATAGCAATAGCAACCTGAACTTGCCAATAGGAGAAAGGAATTTGAATTGGCATCAGTCTTGCACAACATCAACTCCTATTACAGACGTGCATAGCTGAGTCAGCTCTCACTTCCTCCCAAAGGGGCAAGATGTCCATTCTTTTATCATCTGTAATATAATTAGAAATCATGGGTTTGTTCCTTGGAGATTTATCTCCCATTTTTTTTATGGTTTCATTTCTTTTACAATAAACATTTTCCCTTTTCTTGTAACTTAATCATCTTTTTGTCCCATTTCAGTTATTTCAGAACATACCTTACTCAGGTATCTTTGTTGGACTGCTTCTTTACTTGATTATAACCCCATAAAATTATTATTAGGAATTAGATGCTGTGCATGGAAAGCTACGTTGTGAATGATTTTACCAAATCTAAACACTAACAAAAGTTACTCTTGTATTTTCCTATATCAGGAAATAAAGATGGAGGAAGCTATGATCCACACAGGTATCCACACTTTATTATTCTCCTCAGCAGCTTCTTTCCAAATAATTGCATGACCTGGTCCATTTCAACTAATGCCTCTACTTTGCCTGCTGCACATCATATAGCTTTTGCTGCATGCAAGCGCTAATGCTGTTCATGAAACCACTGGTGTTTACATTTTCACATGACATTTAATATTTTTACATCAAAATTTCATTTTATTTTATTCCACCTTAGGAAATTCACTCTCATCCTCATATTTAAGCAGAGGAAGGGAGAGAAGGTATAGTGCAGAAAGAATGCTCAGCCATTTATTCACCAATCCACCCACATCTGTCTTTCCACCTAGAACAGGGGTGTCAAACTCACATTGTCACGGCAGCATCACGTGACATATCGGAACTGTTTCCCCCATAGCTAAACTGGGTGTGGGCATGGCCAGCGTGTGACGCATCCGGCCCATGGGCCGGGAATTTGACAGCCCTGATCTAGAACATTTACATATCACTCTCTGTGGGCATCAGGCATCTCCATGTGTTTAGGCAACCTGGAATGAAGAATACATTCTTGTACTGTTGTATGTATTGTAGGTCATGATGCCCGAAAGAGGGTGCTTAAATATGTTTACCTTTGCACAGCAAAGCAAAATCAATTGAGCTTACATTGTATGTAGATGTTCATATATTTGAATGGATATTTGTTCACTTTTTCTCCTATAAAACATGATTGGATACTTGTTCACTTTTTCTCCTGTAGAACTTATGTTTTATAAAACTGATATCAGCTTGCAAGATAGCGACCTGGTCTATAAGACACTTATGCACATTTCCCAAATAAAATGCAAAAAAGGGTTATGTAATTCTGCACCAGTTATAAAGCTGTTGAAGTTAAGGCAATGTGGACTGGATCAGTACCCAGATCAGTGGTTAAATCCGAACCAGTTTGATACCAGTTTGCTGGCCGCGCATGTGCACCAAACATGTGCTGTGTGCGTTTGCAGTGCATGCCAAACGTGTGCTGTGTGCACATGCAGTGCGCACCAAATGTGCTTTCTGCGCATGTGCAGTATGTGCCAAAAGGAGGCTTGGGAAGGTAAGTAGAAGCGGGGGGGATCAGCTGTGGCATGCGATTTAGCTTCGCTAGAAAGCAAGAAATCCTGCTTTCTAGCAAAGCTAAATCTGATTCCCCCCTCTGTTCTACTTATCTTCCTAAGCCTCCTTTTGGCACGAGCTGTGCCCGCGCATTCGCAGTACACGCCAAAAGGAGGTTTGGAAAGGTAAGTAGAACAACGAGGGTGGGGGATCAGCTGTGGTGCGCGATTTAGCTTTGCTAGAAAGCAGGATTTCCTGCTTTCTAGCAAAGCTAAACCCCACTGCCCAACTGATCGTCGGAAATACCAGTTTGGAGGAACCGGCAGCTTTTTAAACTGCCAGTTCAATTGAACCGGTAGCTAGCTACTGGTTTGCCCGAACCGGAGCGAACCGGTAGCATTTCACCCCTGACCCAGATGATATAGAATGCTATGAGATAATAATTATTAAGTCAATTTTCAAAGAAGAGTAACTCTTAGGATTATTGGATTCTTTTGCAGAACTTCAGTAAGAGGTTGGGCTTTGTTACATATTTAGAGTCAAATAGAAAATAATCACTTACATTGTTTCACTTTTGGCATTTACAATCTTCTTCTCCTTAATTTCACAAGGATTGTTACTCTGTCAAACTGCTTCAAGTTGCCTCTGCTTACTGTGGTATTGGTGGCAACAATTACCAGTCTTTACACACTTCAAATTGATGGCTCAGTGATGACTTTCACCAAAGATCAGATTGCCTCAGGCTAAGCCAGAGGTGACTGAGGGCCAGTATCAACTTGCCTTCAGATCAAACTGAGACACAGTTTTAATCAATAGGAAACTAAAATAAGCTAGTTATTCACCAAAGCTTCTGTTATCATTTAAAATAAAATCAATAAGTCAACTTCTTGGTCAACTGGTCATGAATTGGGAGGCTAATGATAGAAAGATTTAAACTGTCTTGCATTCCCTGATAAGGCAGGAAATGTTGTTGAAAATAAAGGGATTAGCATTAAATCATTTAAATGTTGTAGAATTAGCACTGAAAATTAGTTTCTGCTTCTCTTTCCAATTCCCCAAATATTTGGGCATACCGAATCTTCACTGTATAATATTTGCTTCCTTTTTGATAGGAAAGGCATTTGTTCACAGATTTTGAGATTCTTGAAGCAAGCCTTTCTGGGTGACTCCCCTGTATAGTCCGTATATGCAACCATATTTTCAATTAGTGTCTATAATAAGTCCTCATCAGCTAGTTTAGTGATGTTATTTCCATGAGCACCCAAATGAATTCAGAGTATTGGTAATATTGCTATTGCCTATAAGAATATTTATGAGTTAAATGCCATTTGTTTTTCCATTTGTTGTTACATTCAAAAAAATATATAAAACAAATATACTCTTTACCCGTCCCAATTACTGACTGGAGCTAAAAACTTATGGAAGTTTTCCAGAAGACAAGTCAACTGGGCAACATGGATAGATCTTGAAGCATCTTATTATGCCCCACAAAAGTATTTCTTTTTATAACAATTATGAATAACACAGAGATAAAATAACTCTTGGTATCAATTATTATGCCTTACATGAGAACTTCCCTGAAATTTTCAAATGTGTGCTTTTGGTGGGAAAATGCCTGCTATGTTTCTGTCTTAACCCATTTTTTCTCCATGTATATTCTCATTATTGACAATCATTGTAGCTCAATCCATTTGAAAGGTACAGGATTAGATAATGTGGTCATTCTTTTTCTGGAGTTGAGCATCAATAGCTTTTCCAGTTTTGTGCCAGAGACGTTGGACAGATTTAAAGCAAAGCTAGGTTAATATAGCTCAGAAATATTATGAAGACAAGCAAGAATTAGCTTAACAGTTTATTATCTGCAATGTAAACGTAAAACAATTTACACACTATAGAAGTGTACAACAGCACTTACTCTTAAGTGATTCTTCTACTGCATTTAATTTTTTAAAATGTTTCTATTTAAGTTAAAAAAAAAGTTAAGCCGATTCTTGCTTTGTCTTAATATATCCACATCTCCAGGGAAAAGAGGAATTCTCTATATGGCTTGGTCCCTAGGTACCTGCAGGGCCACCAATCAGATTAACCTCATCTCAGAAGATCCTCTCAAGAGAAGCGCCTTGTGGTGCCCCAATTGAAGGTGGGAGGTGCTGTGGGAAAAAAGCATTGTTGAACATATTCACCAACTTATTTATTTACTGCTTAGAAATTGATTTTTTTGTTATGAACCACATGCTTTGCTTAAAGATATAACTAGAGTTAGGAACGACTAACACATATGTGCGAGGGGAACCTTTACTTTTACCTTATAACTATTTCACTATATTTGAGCATCTTGTTATAAGCCCTATGTTTTGTAAAGATTTGGTAACATCAAATTAGAAGTACTCTCCAATAAAAGCAGCTTCCTTATAATTCCCTAGGATTTAATTAAGCCATGGAGAAATGAGTGTATAATGACTCTTCATACATATGCTTTGGCTATCTTGCAACTAAATGTCAATCACTATAACAGCAAGAAATCCATGTGAATGTTTCTGTAATGCTTTTCTTTTTTTGGAAGAATTTCTAAAGCAAATTCACTTTCATCATATTGAATGAGACCTGCTATGAACAAATGCAAGAAAATGTTGCTGCCTAGTATTAACCCACTCATGTCACACTTGAGCTCTTTGTGTAAAATATTGATTACATATCCCCGCCTAATATTAAAAGAGTTGGTATTTTATCATTGCAACCAATATACTAAAATTCTGAAAAAGAGCATGTAAGGATTTTCCTGTATTGTGCTACTCAATTTCGAAGAAGGCAATTATTAAATACGACTGTGCAAAGATTAGATTGATATTTAATTCAAATCACTGGTTTTTCAATTGTATCTATGAATCACTTTGAATCACTCTGTATCTATGAATCACTTTGAATCAAACTATATATTCTTGAATCAATTTGGAAAATCAGATTGAAGTGCCAAATGGAATGGATTTGACTTTCCAAATTATGATTTGAACCAAAGCAATTTGAATCAGATCCGAGCTAAACTGCACATGATTGATTTCCAATATTACAAGTATTACTGTTTCTTTTTTTTTTTCTTTTTAACAGAGGACACTTATGGCATGGATGGGAAGGCTAGGTTCCCAAATTTTACAGAAAGTATCAGCTGGCAAGGACTGGAGGATTTGTACAGTGTGAATGAAAGTTTATATGAAACCAGAAACAACTACAGCATTCATTCTGATGACTGGAGAAATTACTTGAAGGATGTAGATAGAATCTTTGCACTGCTGAACAGTTACTCTAAGCAAAATCAAAGAGCAGAGACTCCCACTGTTAATACGAGTGGAGACTTGGATGAATCATCCACATCATTTTCCTTGCTGGGAATGAGCTCTGCTGAAATAGATGAAGGTTCGAGTGGGTTGACAACCCTAGAGGCTCAACCTATCATCCCAACCTATTATGGAGACCTGACCTTGAGCACAGTAGTGTCAAGCAAGGATGGCAGACTTGAATTAAGCAATGATATTCCTGCAAAAAGGAGTACAAATGGCCACCAAGCCAAAACAAGGCTGAAGATTGAAGAGCCAGTTAATTCAGAAATGGATTTTAGTGGGAACGATTTGACAGAACTGGAGTCCAGACACAGCTTCATCTTGCAACCAATTAACATTATTCAGAAAGCCTCTATGACAGACAAAGATTTTGCACAGGGTATTTTTGAAGAGCAAGTCTACCTTCCCATGAATTCTGCTACAAAAATAATCAGCTGGGCTTTAAATACATTTGTCGTGCAGCATAAAACTGAAATGTTGAGAAAAAGGGAAGGTTTCCAGAAATCTTCACAGTTTCTGAATGAAGAAGGCAGTGCTTCAAATCCACTCTCCTCAAATTAGGCTGGGTTAGCAAGTCAGGTACTATTAATAAGCTCGCAAATGGAACAACAAAACAGCAAAATTCCAGTAGTGTATATTTTACATTCACATTCTTGTCAATATGGCTACAGCTATTAAAATCCGAGAATTAAAAAGGCACCATTGTGACTTTTTAGCAGAGCCCTATTTTTAAAGTAGTGTAAACGCACCTTCAAAGGAAATAAGCTTGTTTTTCTGTTCTCATAACAAATATTCTTATCCCGTTTGAGTAATTTTTATTAATTTGAACAATTGAAATTTCATATTGTCAAAGTAAATTTACATGCCCTTTTGTAATCATCGTGCCATAGTCTTTATTAATCTGACTCGTCTACATGTTCTTAATTTTGCTAATGGAATGTAATTTACAAAACAATAAAAGAAGTTGATAGAGAATACATTATATACATGGATGGTAAAAAGCAATTATTGGTATATTGAGCAGATTTTCATATTTGATTTAAAATCTTTATCTTCCAATCAATTCACAGTAACTTTTTTCTTAGATATAACAAACAGGAAACTTAACAGAAAGAGTTAAAGTGAGTTCATTTTCCAGTAGATAGGGACTAAATTGTTATTAAGATTTTTTCAGGAAAGTTTGATTTCCACTTTGCAAAAGGTCTTAATGTATTCACAGCAGTTCTAATCATTTTAGAATAAAATCTAGTCCAAAGAAAGGTTCTGTATACAAATATGCTATATATTATATTGCATCTTGGCACACTTGCAGAAGTACAACACATACCCCTTTTTAAACACAATCTAAGGTAAGACTACAAATTGCATTGCCATATCTGTATGTAGCCATATGGAATACTGGATTGTAGGTATACCTTTTAAACAGCAATGTCCTGTACACAGGGAATAATATTATGTGCAAAAGTGCTTCTCTACTCTTCAAAGAAATGCATGCTGCTCACAGAAACATCAGGGAAGTTGCATTCAATCCACATTCAGAATATATTAACTTTTGACCTTTTCTTTCATTCTTTTTCTTCACACACTTTGCAGTACTCAGTTCCCAATTTCAACTTACCGTTAGGTTACTCCTAGCTTTCCTTATTTCCAAATAACAATGTGGGGACAAGCACATTCTCATATACAGCCATTTTTGGTTCTTCTGTCATTCATTCCATACAGCATATATTTTCTACCAACATCTGCACATCTTTAAAAAATAGTTCCATTCATTTAATACACATTTTACCAAGGTATACAAATTAATCTACTTTCTCTTTTTTTATGTACAAACTTGCAATTGCTCCATTTTCTCTCAGACACAATTGTCTTGATATTTATGTATTAATTTTCAGTTGTGTGCTCCTTGTTGTATTATAGTTTATGTAACATTTACTTACTGTTTGAAGGCATTTCAGTAATTTTCATGAAAAGCTTTTAGTAGATTCTGTAAACATGAATATTTATCATTTACATGTCTCAAGCTGAATGGCAGAACAAATTTATTTAACGATGTGAATGAATTTTTATATAGATTTTCATTAGGTTACAAACTGTTTATGTAAGAATTTTCTGCAGTACTTTTATAGAACAATTCTGGCTTCAGGAAAGTCTAGAAGCAATAATTCTTCAAATAAAAAAATACTTTACCTGTTTTATAGAAATCAATCAAGTCAAATTTTCATAAAGGTATTAAATTATTTTAATTCAATATATTCATCTATAAACTAATAAGAAATGTTTTACTATGTAATATTTTGCAGTTATTTGATTTAAAATAACTATCTAAGCTCAGATACAAGTTGTAGACATTAACATCCTGCGACAATATCTGTAACATCAGCAAATGTCCAGATCTGCCTATTCCAGGTTCTTGAAAAGGATTCAATAGGTAAACAATAATGTCAAACCCAGTCTGAACATCTGGCTCATTGTGAGGCGAACCAGAATAATAATAATCAGAAAAAATGTGAAAATGGAAAGACTAAAAAACCAATAGTAGAATAACAAATACAATTAACATATACAAAGGAAAAGCTGATATGATATATAGAAATAACTTAGAAGTAATATTAACAGAATCACTACAGGCCAGCACTAGAAGAATCCATGAATTGATCAACCATCGCCAAGAAGAATTAAAAGAAAAATTTTGGCATATGTAAAAAACAGTAGAAAGACAATACTGCCAGCACTGGTAGAGCCAAAGAAGACTTGACACCTATAATGAAGGGTGTAAATAAGGCATTTGTAATGATGAACATTTATCAATAGACCAACCAGCTTCCCTGCAGTAGAGCAGTACAGAACTGGGTATTGGAATTAGAAAATCAAAGCCTTGGTAGTACAGTGGTTTAATGCACCCTGTAATTAACACAGCTGCCTGCAATTTCTGCAGGTTCGAATCTTACCAGGCTCAAGGTTGACTCAGCCTTCCATCCTTTCTAAGGTAGGTTAAATGAGGACCCAGTTTGTGGGGGCAATAAGCTGACTTTGTATAAATATACAAAAGGATGAAGGCTATTGCTTAACACATTGTAAGCCACCCTGAGTCTCCGGAGAAGGGCGGCATATAAATCAAATAAAAATAAAATAAAATAAAATAAATGCAAAATGATATTCAATCCCAAAGTAGAACATCAGATGCAAATAATTTTTAAAAAGATGGAAGCATATAAAGATCAACACAAGCCTAATTAAAAGTACTGGCTTAGCACAAGAAAAACTAAAGAAACTTTGGAAATCATAAAGCAACAAATAACAGCAATAGCTGGAAAAATTGAGCACTATGAAGTATGAATCATTCAATTTAAGCAATATTGGTTGTTGAATCAGACCAGAGGTGATTCTTCCGAAGTATAAATGGCAATAGAAATGCTGAAAATGGAAAACCAAACAAAAAAGAAAGTTTTGGAAATATCTAGAAGAACCTCAAGACTAATAACAACAGAAATACTTAAAACTGAGTGAAAATGATTAAACCATCTCCTGGAAATGATCAGTTGCATGGTATTTGGCTCAAATAACTGACCAGCTTACATCCAATTATATCTAAACAGTTTAATGAAATATTGCATAAATATTTCCATTAGTGATTGGTTAATAAGTGGCAAAAATGTATCAGATACAAAAGGACCCAGCAATATAATGCAGTTCCAAAATGATTCACTAGCTCATCCATTAAAATTAGCATGTGGCAATAATGAAAAATTGTTGAGAACATAAAGTTGAAAAAGTAGTCAAAATGGGCAGGATAAAATATTGTGAGATTTCAGAAGACAAACTGAATAAAAGTCTTAGCTCTTAACACAACTGATTTAACTGTGATTGAAAAGAAGAAAGTGTGGATAATTGATGTGGTAATGACAGCAAAGAATTGGAGAAGATAACATAGTATCAAAATCTGAAAATTAAAACTGGAAGATTATGGCATAAACCAGCTTGGACAAAAATCCCATCGGTTCAATTACCAAAGGTCACACTGCTTTGATTTCCACATATACTACACTGATATTTTAAAACATCCTAAGTTCTTAGAAAGAGCTCGATTCATATGAAAGCCAGTATCAGCTTAAGAACTGGCAACTGTGATTTCATACTATTGTGTATACAAGACAGTGGAATAGAAGAATTGGGCGGGGGGGGGGGAGGAATCACAAAACATAAAGACCTACAAATAGAAGTAGAAAGACTAATAAAGAAAATAAAAATAATACCAATAGTAATAGGTATATTGGTACAATTCCAAAATATCTGGAGCATCACCTGAAGATCAGAGGCATTGATAAAATCATTATTAGTCAATTGCGAAAGGCAGCTTTACTTGGAACAACTTCCATCCTGTGATATATACGTTTAACATGAAACATCGGACCATCTCAGGTCCTTGAGAAAGACTTGACAGGGATAAAAAAGCCAGTCTAAATCTCTGGCTGAACATCATAATAGATAGTTGAAGGGAAAAAAAGGGCACCTTTTGAACATGAAATCAGCAGCCTAAAACTCTTCAAGAGTTTGTTGCTGTTAAACAGTAAAGTAAAATCACACTCCACTCAACAGGTATAAAATTACTGTTCATAAATGTCCATTGGATGTCACTACAAGATCACATAATAGCTTGCAGTAATAATGATAAATATTGGTGCAGAGATGGGATTCTTAAATTGTAAATACTGTCAACGAATACCTTTAAAAATGTGGATTTTGGAGTTAAGATGATATAGAGTGAAAATAAGAGCCCACATTAAAACTGGCATTAAATGTTATTTAGTTACAGATCATGAATAAATATAACTGATAGATTAAAACACAGGCAATTTGACTCATATATAAAAATGATTAGCTAATTATGACAAACAGATGCAATTGAGCTGAGCAGCAACAATATACTAAATGAGGTAGTAGCACTGAATCCATATTCACTGCATTGATTTCTGCAGCAAAACTATTTTGGATCAGAATGGATTCTTCTACTGTCCTCCACCCCAAAAAAACACTTTAAGTTTGGAATAGTACAACAAGATGTGACATAAAACACCACGAAGTTAAAAAGTCATTTTTATTTCAAAATGCCAAGTACTGAAGGTTCATTTGCAAACAGCTATTTACACATATTGTCCATAAAGTTTTACACAAGCTTGTACGTAAGAGTTTGAAAACTGGTCTTAAGAGATAAATATTAGTTCAAATCTTCACTAAAAAAAAGGAACAGTCCACAAATCCCCATTTTGTTTTTACAGATGCAATTTATAGTTTCCTGACTGACACACTTAAAAACATTTATCAAAACTAACATTTTAACTAGTCTGCCCCTTGATTAATAATATTTTCCCTCTTTCAGGTATATTAGGTTAAAACAAAATACAATATGCAACATACTGCTATTTTCCTGAAATCAATGGAAAAAAATATACAGTCTTGTCTATATATTAATGGGGGGAGTGTGTGAAGTATAAAAAAGTAATGATTCAAAATTGCATATTTAAGAATATTAAGTTCAACCCTGGATTCTTTTGGAACAGTATTTTTTTTAGATTCTTCAACATGCAGTGTATTTTTAATTACACATGGTTTTGGCTAACAGTTCTGTTCTGAAAGTTTATTTTTAAAGTTCAAAAATCAAAGGACACAATTCTTTTGTCTTTGCCACCACAGTTCCGTACTAACCAAATGACTGAGGGAGATGATAATCTGGGAGTAATCAAGGGTTATCTATTGTACATTTTGTGTTCATTTAACAGGTACCATAGTCTGAAACACTGGTCATAATACCTGTAGAACAAAACCTCTAAGCAGCTCTACTAAGCTGCTCCTTAGCTGCACCAAATTTTGATTCCTAGACTTCCAAGCCACTATAGCTAAAAGTAAAACAATTAGCAAACTTTGGCAGGACACCGGATCACCATTCTTTGGCTATCGCTATGCTCTGCCAGAAAATTGTTTTCCAGATTCAACAGTTAAAGATTTCCAGTTGACAAATGAGAGCCAGTTCTTTCAGTTAAAATACCTAAACTAGTTCAAAGTTGTGCTGCCTCATGAATATTTGTGGAGCAAGAGTATATTGCAAACTTACCATTAAGCTGATAGTCCTGCAAGATAAGCACCTGAGCAGCTATTTGAAGTATTTTTCAGCCTCGAGGGAATTCTTTTATCCCATTAGCACCAGTTGAATCAGTTCAAAGCTGATCCATAGGGTTGCTCATTTACATTAGAGGACCAATGTACATTTTCTGGTACACTAACAATACTTTAAAAAAGACTTTGGGACAACTGCACTCTCTAGGGCACTCTCCATTTTATGACTACATTGCAAAAAAACCAGAACAGTACCAATGCTTAAATGACATAATGAACTGATACGTATATGTAGAAGCTCCATTCAAAAGTTTGCCACAATACATGGTGAGCTCAAAACTAGGCCCACCTGTTTCCTATCTCCATAGATACAGAAAGCAGGTCTGAAAAGGAGCTATACTCATATTTGCTATAATAGGAGTAAAGCTGTCAGTGCAAGTTAAGACCTTACATTACACTAAGGTACATTCAGAGAACTGTACTTCTATTTAAGCAAACATGAGCACTGGTCCCCTTCAGGCCCAAGCAGTTCTCTGTGCTCCTCACTTTTGAGTTCTCTCTTTACTTTCTCTTGGTAGACTACAACTAGCCAACAAATTGGATAAACTGTCTACTTCCAAATTTCAAGTATGCAATCAATACTGACACTTTTGAGGCAATGGTAGGTTTGCATAAATAATCTTAGTACTATATTAATAAACATATATTAGTATTTATGGCAATCTACATCCATGTACATTATTTACACTATGAAAAGATTTAACACTTATTCTAGGATGGAACAAAGAGATAACAAAATTCTTCAGTTATAAGTTGAAGTATTACATTGGTGCATGCTGTCTAGTTTCTCTTCCACAGCTTAAAAAAATGTAATACCTAAGTTAGGAAGCAGAGCATGGCTAAACCTCCTTTTAAGCTATTGCAGTGACATAGCTCAAAATGAAAAAACATAGACATGCACAGTGCTTGGAAGATGTATGTCTGAGAAGAGAGCAACTGGCCATTCAACTACCATAGCAAGCTAACAGTATACATGTTCAATTCATGGCATCAATTTTCCTCAGAACGCAATGACACTCATAGGCCTAGTTCAGATAGGCTGATGCCTTTAAAAACTTAGAACACAATCTGATAAAGGAGGTGTCTCCCCACACCTCAAATTCCTCCATCAACTATTCCCTATGTACAGTCTATAGGGCCTTAGCAATTGAGCTTTGATTGCATACTCATTGCTTATTATGAAATATTTCACTTTTTATTCCCTACTAATAAGCATTTCCTCTCATTGGATTACCACTCTAAAGATTTGAGGGGTGCAGAAGGCCTTGGGAGCTGACCATATTCTCATTTCAACTTTTGGAAAGCCACTTTTCAGAAGCTCTTTTTGAATTTACCCTGAACATCAAATTGGTCCTGCCTAGGGAACTGCTCTTCAATGTGTGACTTAAGAGATCCCTTTAGTCTCGGAATCAGACAACAGAATGTAACAAAATATTTTAGATTCAAAAATAGAACAGTTCAATTGCATGAGACATAGCGTTTCCAAAACAGATCTGAACAAGGCTTTTGTGACCTCATCAGGAATACACCCCTGAGTATTGCCTATGTATCTCACTCTTTTAAAGTGTATTAGCATATCTATGAAATGGAAAGCTAACTTGTACTTTTGATTTTAGCAATATGAAAGCCTCGATGGCATTTTTCCCTTAACATATTTTTTTTTTAAAAAAGATGAAATAATTCTGGCAAGTGCAAAAAGCAATAACTGTGGAATCTTTATTCTTCTTGCCATTTGTCTCTTCATAACTCCTACTCCTCCTCACCCAAGAAGAACAAGAGGGCTAACAATATGAAAAAACAGTTAAAATGTATAATTTTGAATGGACAGATGGCAGGATGGGAAATCTATAAGCATCCACTTACCTTGCAAATGTTCCACTCTAGCCGGTAGATCTTTTGCATTAAAAATCCCTAGTGGCAGGATAAACCACTTGCACAACTGAGTATTATAGGTTGCATTTCAGTCTCAGGTGCTCCAGATATTGGCATCTATAAACACAACCCTTTTTTTTCCAGTAATGAAAAAGTGGTGATCAGATCAGGATGCCCAAGACAATTTCTATTGCTGACAAAGCTAAATAAATATAGTAGATGCCAAATGCTGAAATATAAGCAGGTCTGTACAAGCCTTTAATACCAACTGGATTGTTAAGACCTGTAATTCTCCGTCAAGAAACAGTAGGAACCTAAAAACAGACAACTTGGCAAAACAATCATTTGACTGTACCAGCATATGCTCAGATTGATATTTAGGGCATGATGAGGTATGTAAACAGCAATCTGGGCCATGTGTCAGAACAAATAACCACTGTACCATATCAGCAGAGGATTAGATACTAGAGTCATCTCAGTTTGCCACACTATCAAGGTTAATGACCAGAAACAAAAGTAACCTTAAGTTTGGATTTGATGAACTCAATAGGAGTTCTGCAGCTGATTGTTCCTTCTTGCAAAAATATGCAAATACAAACCAGTAAATTTGTTATGCTTTAAGGTTATTACAAAATAGTACTGAAATCACTAATGAGTTATAAATTCACAATTAAAATGAAAAATACACTATCATATTAAAATAAATCATATCATATGATATGATATATCATATCATATTATCAATAACTCATCCTGTTATTGATTTGTCTTAAGATTGTTTTATCTCTTAAAATAAAATGTTTAATTGGTTATTTTATTACTTCAATAGCCTCTTTCCCAAGTCAGATGATTGAAAATTTTGATTTAAAAATACACAGAACCAAATTATCCAGTTCACATTGCATAGCTAAGTTGTGCTTTGAAATAGAATTAAAAATAATTACTTGTTCTCCCCTAGTTCAAGAACCAGGGTTGCTTTATCTTCACCAGTGGCATCCATTTCTATCAGAACTGATTTTCACAGTAGAGAATCTATTAGCATTTGCCTGGAACATGCAACTTGAATAGACATACTTAAAGGACTTGCAAACCTATTTTAACATTCCAGTTCCTAAAAAGAAGAAAGACCTATCTAAGCTGTTTGGAGGTAACCAGCCCTCAGATATGCCATGGCTCTATGCATTAAGCTGTTCTGGTTTAATATCAGTGGCATATCTTATTAGGAAAAAGAAGGCACAGGCGTTTCAAAAGGCCCCAAACTTAATATGTACAAATAAATAATAATCTGAAGTTACTGCAAGGGCCCCTCTATTTCAGAAGTGACTTCTTGTGAAGGCTTCTCAACTGATGTAGTTATTGCTTCTATTGTAAGGGGGCCAGGATAGGTTTGTGCTGTGTAATGCATTGTTGTTGTTAGATTGACATTGTTACCACGGTCACCTTGAGAGCTAAAAGTGGGGCAGGATCTAGTCCTTGCATAGTTTTGCTGAGCAACTTTGTTACACATCACTTCGCTCACAGTGCTGACAGGAGCATCTTCCCACATCTGCCTTTGCTGCTTATTTTCTTTATACTTAATGGTGTACCAAGCAAGAAAAATGAATAGGAAGCCAACAAATTTGAGACCAGCTGCCAGACCAAAGTACACAAAACGAAATGACGTCACATCGTATTCCCAACATGAGCCTTGAACACCACATTCCTGTTGCCACAGCATGCAGGTAGTATCAATGACGGCACCAAAATAAATTGGGGTAGGAATGTATGCTGTAATAAATAGGAAAAGTGAAGTCAATCAACTCCTATATTAAAACAGTTATTGGGAAATTTTTTGAGACAGTACAGAGTAAAGCTAAACCTATAATATTTCTATTTTTAAAGTGGTTTTGGCTAGGATATACATCACATCACATACAAACAGAATGAGACAAAATTCTCGTAAGATGCTTATAAATGACTTGGTTTAGAAGAGTTAAATTTTAACTCTTTCCAATAGTACATTTTTATTTATTTTGAATTATTGCCAATGGAATGCTAGATATGTCTCATAGAGGCAGACTTTTCCCCCCTTGTTTTCCTCCCCAAAAGCTAGGTGCGTCTTATAGTCCGGAGCATCTTATAGTCCGAAAAATACAGTAACTATAGTATTTGGTGTATACAATCTGTTACAAACAAATCAGGTTTAAAGTTAAGAAAAATATTAACAAGAACACATAAGAATTCATGGTTACCTAAAATGAAAGTAAATATTTATGGAATTCTCCCCTTTATTACAGTAGAGAAATATGGGAGGGGAAATGGTAATGTAGTCTTAAACCAGATTAGCAAGGGTCGATAACTAATATATCCACCCCAGCCACTGTAGAAGTGCAAGGTTGTGTGCGTGGATTTAAAAAAACTGAGAAAATAAAAGAGGGCACCAATTAAAAGAGGGCATCTTTTAATTAAGACCCCATCAAAAGTGTCAGATCATAGGCAGGGAAACTTTTTTTTTTTAAAAAAGTGCTACTTTCAGCTGCCTTGACAATTCTTCTACCAATTCACATAATATTTCAATATAGTCAATGTAACCAACTGTGAGGCACTAGATCTGCCTCTGCACTTACCAAGAGTTCTTAATAAAACAAATTGCATGCCAAGAGCAAAAGGCCTCTCACCCTTTTCCACAGACCTATAAAAAGATACAATATATTTTAAAGTCTTGAACAGGGAAAATGGTAGGAATGACTACTTAACTGTTACTTGATATAACTCTTCTCCTTAGCCACATCCCAGGAGAGTGACCCAATGCTAATCCGGTGTTCAGTAGAATCAAAATCAGAAGTTCAGCGAAACAAAAACTTTATCCAGGAAGCAAAGTGAGAAATTTTCCTTACATTTCTGATGACAAGTAGATTCAATCAAATCTAGATTGACAAGTAGATTTATTTTCTAAGTAAAGTGTCTTCCCATTCTCCTTAGCGTCCTGCAATCTACCCAATAACAAATACCCTCTCAGACACAACAATTACCCTCTCTGACTTCTACAATTCTAAAACATGTTGATTCATATATTAATTATTATGTATCATCAATGAAAAGATGAGTGAAATCAAACTTTGTAAATCCATCTATCTCTAGAAGTAACGTAATTCATCATCAGAAAAGTAAAGCTGAATTATGTTTGTGGAAGATGACAGAGAAACTCAATTATAATATAAAGCATGCTATGCTAGTAGACAGAAATGATCCAGGCAACTTCTCACCTGAGAGTAACTATGATTGCTGATGGTTGGGCACATGCTGTGATAAGTGTTACTATGAAGAGAAAAATGAGGAAAGGGATGAGTGTGTTGCAGGTTCTATCACACTTTCCTGATACAGCATAGCCATTCTCATTGAGATATGTTTTGACGATCACTACTCTTAGCTGGCTACGCTGTCCAACTGTGGGTGGTGTGATAACTTGCCGGCTTTGGACACAGGCACAATCTGTGTAATTTCTTATCTGTAAAAGATTTAAAAAGTGTAAAACAATAATTAGTCCTTATTTGTATTTTTATCAAGAATGCTTGCATTCTGGTACATGTGCTTCATCTTATTTATGACTCTAAGTAAAGCACAATACAGCCAGGACAGTTACAGCAGATGAGAAATGCTCTTCATCTGAAGGCAAAATATTCTATAGAGAAAAAATTTTAACAGTATTTCAAAATATCTGAATTGAGTGTTTTAAAAGGAAGATTTAAGAAAGGCCTTCCTGGTCTAAAGTTATAGTGTTGTTGTTGTTTTGCAAATAGCAAGCTAAATACTTAATTAATTAAATGCAAAATTTTATAAACTGTTAATTACCTAGTTTCGAGGAAGTTCACAGAAACAAGGAAAATGCATACATGAAAGGAGAACACAGTATCAAAATTCTATGTCTAACAGTCCTGGATTGGCTTTAGGCTAAGGCCAAATAGGTAAACCCAAGACTATAGATTAAAGAGTTACAGAAAACTTGATGAAATATTTCCATTTCTTGTAATGGAAAAATTGTTGGGTTTTAATAATTTAATTAGAAAATCTTCTGACTCTAGCAGACAATCTGCTGGACATGCTGATCATAGCAGCCTTCATATTACCAGTATTTATTAAATTTATTTGCCACCCATCTTGCTTCGAAGTGACTCTGGGCAACGTACAGCATTAAAAGCATTCAAACTGTAAGATAAATATTTCTAAAATGATAAAAATGGAGTTACAATAAAAAATAAAATTATAGTTAAGACATGGGGAGAGAGGGAGCAGGAGGATCAGGGTGGTGAGATGGGATTATCTCTTAATTCATCCACCACTTCCAGTGTGATGCTCACCCATTGGGGGCCCAAGCCATCTGGCAGAGCCAGGTCTTCAGGCCTTTATGGAAGATCAGAAGGAGGGAGCCTATCTCACCTCCCAGGGTAAGATGTTCAAAAGGAGAAAAGCCATGGCAGAGAAGGCCCTTCTACTGGACCCCGCCAGCTGAAATTCCTTGATTGACAGGGCCCGCAGCATGCCTGCTCTGCTAGTGTAGTACTGAAATTGCCATTTCATCGAACTATGCAAAAATAATCTCCACAGTTATCTTTATCGCAGTTGAGGAGAAGGCAAGGAGAACCTAGAATTCTGCAAGCCTTTCTAATTTGAGGAAGGGAGTTTTACATGCTGAGAAGTTTCCAATAGCACATGCTTTCTGAAACCTTCTCACACAAGAAAAAACTTTGACTACATAATCCATGGGAAGGTGGAAAACTCAGAGCATATAAGAACTGTTGTGGGATTTGCAAGGGACTGATCAATAGGGGATGACTATTGAATGACTATGATATTCAGGCCCTATATCTACAATGTCTTTGCCCCATAATTGAACTTAGTGATCACCTTCTTGTAGTCTGGCCATGTACTCACAGCCAATGAAATTATAATGCATTTAATAAAGTCAATTAAAGTTATATGTGCCTTGGGTTTTTGCCTTACCAGGAAACTACAAGATTGGTGAATGTATACAGTGCTCATAGTTATATCCGGAGATCTAAGTCTCACACCAAAAGACAATAGAGGATGATCTAACAGTAGGAATAGCTGCCTAAAAACTCTTACACATACCTCTGTCGGAAACAGATAAATAAAATAAATAAAAACATCTTAATAGCTGCAAATCAGTATTGTATAACAATTATTTTGGCTACCCCACATATATGAATGCTTCATAATGTTTGATGCCTAAGACTTTTTTTATACGCAAAACAGGCATTTTACTACAATGTTGCTGTCCAGACTATTAAGAAAATAGCTTTGTGATCTACAATACTGAAAATAGAATTTATCTTTGGTGATACGTTGTTTTTCTAACAGCAACAAAAGTTATCACTTTGTAGGCATACTCACTCCTGTGCTATAATTTCCACTGGTAATGCAACCAGCAAGACAAGGGTTAAAATATGTGATCCCATCTGATCCACACACAGGTTTATATTCATGGATTTTGCAGCCACAATTAACATTACAGCTTCCAGTCAGATTCCTATGTGCCATGGTGAGAGTAGGTCTAAAAAAATAAGATGGGGGAATGGGTTATAATATCTATTCATTGCAGAAGATGAATTGATGCCAACAGATACAAACTCTAAGAAATATATTTTCCATTATCATATACAGTAGTGGTCAAAATTGTGGAAACCTTTTGGGAAAAGTGTGTTTTCTAAAACTAGCTAATAACACTTTTTTTTGTAGTACCAGTGAAATGCTACCGGTAGGAAAAAATGCTTTAAAAAGTAAAAATAAAGTTCCAACGATCGTGTGGCACAGCTGATTGTCACACAGCTGATCGTCGCAACTTTTTTTTTTTTTTTTTTTTTTACTTTTTAAGCATTTTTTTACTATTGGTTCGCCGGAACCGGTAGTAAAACAATGCTAAAAGAAATTTTTAAAAAGTTCCAATGATTGTGCGGCACAGCTGATTGTCGCAACTTTTTTTTAAAAAAACTGGTTTATTAGCCATCAAACCTCAAAAATACACTTTTCCCAAAAGGTTTCCACAATTTTGGCCACTACTGTACTTTTCTCTTAATATATTTAATCCTATTCAGATATGCAAATTCAAGCTATTTAGTATTTCTGAGTATATATCCTCTTCTAAAAAATATACTTTATGATTATTCATCATCTCTTGGCTGACTCACTTACTGTGTATCTGAACGAATCACTCTAGAAAAAGGATGTGATATGTTCCCCCTCCAGAGGTGCTGCCCATGCCCGATACCTGAAACATTCCATTTGTCACATTTTTGTATGAGTACAGGCAGTCCTCAACTTACAACAGTTCATTTAGTGACTGTTTGAAGTTACCAAAAAAAGTGGTGTTATTAGCCATCAAACCTCAAAAATACACTTTTCCCAAAAGATTTCCACAATTTTTGCCACTACTGTACTTATAAAGATACAAATCAAGCTATAATTTTTAGACAGATCCATATATGATGTGATGCTAGGGAAACACCAGCGTTTCTTGCACTAAATCTCCAAACCATCATTTCTGCAGCTCCTAGAATTCGATCTAAACACATTATAAATTTTAGTTTTCTAACATAGGAAATACATAAAAACTATAATGTTAACCTAGATAGGTTAAGCAATCCTTTTAAAAGGGAATCAGTCTGGTGGGGTGGTGAAACCCCCACTCACTTCAGTTGTTGTTGTGGAAAAATAGGAGGAGGGAGTATTAATATGTTTGTCACCTTGAGTTGTATATGAAAAAAGGGATAGGATAAAAGCCTTTAAAACTGAGTGAGGGTGGGGAGCACCCTAATCCCTTTTTAAAAAATCCTGGCTCCTACTATATGTGTATGATGCATCCTAATCACTTGGACGCTTCGTTTTATCCATTGTAGCCCTGTCCTTTCCCCGACCATTAAATTCAGCCCTGATCACCATGATTTTACAGCCCTTCACTGAATACACAGGGAGACAAAGATAAACTCTAGACATCTTGTCTGCTGCTCTATCATGCTTTTACATTTTGTTTTGATACATTATATGAATACTGGTATTTTATATTCAAAAAAATATAACGGATTACCTTACATCTACAACTTTATGCCTCCATTATTTTGAATTGTAATTCCCGTCATTCCCAGCTGGCACAACCCCAACACAAGTGAATAACTAGTTGGGGAAGGTTACCAGTATGTCAAAACTTTTCTAAACCTACTGCCTGTTTCAGAATTCCTGAGATATTATGTTTTTCTTTAATTAGCTGAAAACTGATATTTCCAGCTAAATGACACTATAGGTCATGAATACTACGAAGCATTACAAAAACTCCCACCAAGCACAGAAAAAACAGACTAGAATTTCATACCTTATTCTATGGATGTTTGAATTTTTAAAAAAACATTTTACAATTATTTCATCCAAACATCTACATTCACTTAGTTATAATGGTTAAATGAGCTCATAAATTTATGTTCTGAAAATATATTTCCTCATCACCAATTTAAAGTTCTTGGGCCAATGGTCATTACCATAATTCGCAGTATTAAGTATATATTATGGAAATAAATATTGATGTTGTATAGGAAGGTAATATGTGTGTGGGGGGGATGGGATATTGATTTGATTTTGGATTCATTCAGCCAAATGTCAAGATCTGTTCTAAAAATACTCAGATTGGAGAGAAAATAGAATACTGAAAGCACTAAATATCCTTCAAAATCCATGTCATTATGTTTTCTAAGGTCAAGCTTTACAAAACATTCAGCTGTGAAGGCTGGCAAGGAAATAGGGAAATGGCTTTTTATCAGATTTCTTCCATTAAAATTAGCTTATCTCACACTCAGAAGGGCATAACCCAAGAAATACTGTGATCTCCAAAACTATATCCCATAAATGATGGAAATGACCCTTAGTAGCCTTCCTTCAAATAAATAACTTAGAAGTGATATGTGTATATCTAAAACATTGGGTATTTTCATATTAGGTTCTTTGCATTTTGCATATAATACTTACCAGAGATTGTTTATTTGAACACAGCAGATGAATTGTTATTTCTTGTGGAGTATTTCAATCTATGATTATACAATATATTCCTTTCTTACTTACTTATTAAGGCACTTTTAAATTATTTAATGTTCTTATGAAAAAGATACTGCCATTTATACAGCACAAAAAGGCTGGCTTTGATGCAAAGCATAAATTATTTAGAAAGCTCAAAATATATTTACCCCGTGGTATATGGTATATTTATACCTCCTAGATTAATACTTTCACATCCAACTATGAAGAGTGTTGAAAAGCATAACAGAGATACTCCACTGCAAATCATTGCTAGTTTTGCAGATTCTCTTGCACCAAGTTTCAGCTTTTTTATAATGTAACCTCCTAAGACAATTCCAACGCCAGCACTTGGAACAATAATCACACCTGATTAAAGAAAAAGAAAAAGGGGAAAGTTAAAACATTTAACTTTGTTAAACATGTTAAAATGTATAGTATGGAAATACCTTTTCTATAAGAGAAGTATACCAACTCTCTACATTTTTTATATTAACAATATTTATAACCCCACCCTGAAGATCGATTTGAAACTCCCAAGCTAGCTAAATGATAAATGCCATTTGTTTGATTAGCAAACAGTTATTTAGTGCTAAATAATTAGAAAATAAATAATCACAACTGTAGTGGAACGAGTTAAGAAACAACTAATAAGGGGAGCATAATTTCTTTAAAAAATCAATCTACAACAAAAATGAAGAGGTTAAAAAATTGTAGCAATGTTAATTTAGAATAGAAATTGAAAAAAAAAATCTCAGAGATAGAGTTGCACTGAAATTACACATTAGAATTAAGATTAAAAGGCCAGAGAAAGTACAATGCCATTGTTTATCACTGAAAATATACTAAGATCATTTCATATTCAATAGTCAACTACTGAAAAGAGACCCTTTAGCAGGGGTGAAATCTAAAATTTGTTACTACAGGTTCTGTGAGTGTGGCTTGGTGGGGGGGGAGTAATGTGACTGGGTGGGTGTGGCCAACTTTTTTTTTTTTTACTTTTAAAAGTATTTTTTCTACAACCTTAAGAGGTTACAGAAAAAAATGCTTTTAGAAGCCTCTGATGATCAGGCAACTCAGCTGGGATCGCCAGAGGCTTTTAAAGGCATTTTTTTTAAAAAATGCTTTTAAAAGCCTCTGACGATCCCAGCTGAGCCATGCGATCATCAGAGGCTTTTTTTTTTTTTACTTTTAAAAGCATTTTTTCGGCCGAAGAAGTTGTAGAAAAATGCTTTTAAAAGTAAAAAAAACAGCCTCTGATGATTGCGCGGCTCAGATGGGCATGGGGAGGGGCCGCAGGGATTTTTGCTACTGGTTCTCCAAACCACCTGCCGCCATTGCTACCGGATCGGGCGATCCAGTCTGAACCAGGAGCATTTCACCAATGCCCTTTAGCTTAATTTAGTTGGCAATGGCACTCATATGATGATAGGTATTGATGAATTCAGAACAGGATGAACAGGTATTCTTCAACTTACAACCAGGCACCTTAGTGACTATTTGAAGTTACGATGGAAGCGAAAAAGGGGATTTATGACCCAGATTCAAAGTTTCAATGGTTGGGCCCTTCCACAGTCATGTGACCGAACTTTGGGTACTCAACATGGCCAGCTTTATGGCAATTTGCAGTATCCCACAATCACATGACATTTTACGGTTTAAGATTTACTTCCGTTTTTTGGCAAAACCACATCCATAGCAAACCACTGGTTCTCTTAATGACTGCCACAAAAAAGGTTGCAAAATTACTATCATCACAACATAGGCTCCATTATGGTCATATGTCAAGGACTACTTGTATGTATTTGACATTATCTAAAGTCTAATTTTTATTAGGCAAGAGACACAGTGATAATTGGTCAGTGTTAATTACGGAGTGCAACATGATGGCATATTAGATGAAGTTGCAAATAACCAAGTTTATAAACTTAGCTATAAGCTTAGCATTGAGAGAATAAAAGAGGCTTCTTCCTTAAATATGAGAGAAGATGGTTTATCAACCTGGGAAAATTGATCCTTGCCTCAATTAGAGACGCAGTTGACATCAGTGAACAAAGTTTGAGAAGGTTTAATGCTACACTTTGGCCTTTCAATCCTTTGAAGACTCAAAGGCTGTGTCACCAGAAAATGCAGTGCCAATTTTTTTTTTTATTTATTTATTTATATTTTTTTTGAGGAAGGTTAAGTTTTTTAGAATATGAATGGGAGTGAGAAATGTTTCCTTACCCACTTCATGTAAAAAAATAGGGATTTTCCCAGAATCAAATTCTAAACAGAGATCTTTAAAGAAGGATGAAATACTGCTTTAGTTTTACATTAGCTGGGAAATAAGCTCCTGGTATTATGAAAAACACGAAATGAAAAAGAATAAAATATTGCCTTATGTCCTTTATTTATAACATATGATTATTGAAGGTCATAGTTAATATACCATTTCAGAGATTTTATGGGACTGTGATTTTTTTTTATGCTGATATACTGGATTTGGGATTAGGATTTTTTCTTTTTTTGAAGTTTTATTTGGTGGGAGAGCAGTATAAAAGGGAAAATATTAATATTAATTAATTTTGGGATTTTAAAGCCTGACAAATTATAATCTTTGATTTAAGACCACAATTGGGACTGGAATTTCTGTTGCTAAGCGATAGTCATAAAGCATAATGTCACATGACCTTATGACACATGACACTTAGCAGCAGCAATCCCAGGACTTCCCACTGTCATCATAACTCCCCTGTAGCTGAGAGGGAAATGAAGTGGAGGGAGTCCCAGGTAAGAAATGCAGATGCTGCAGAGGGATGAAGGAAGCCCTACAAGGCCCAGTGCAGTGTGGCATAAGATCAGGGAGGCTGGGGAAAGAGGGTGTGGAACATGAGCATGCATATGTGAGCACAAGGAAGCTGGAGAAAGAATATGCTGGGCTGTAACTCGGGGCTTCTTGGCATGCTTGGCTGCAGGGAGCCCCTGAGCCACAGCACAGCGTGAAGGTGCAGTCTTCCCAGGAAGCTCCGAAGCCTAGCGCTAGCCCAGTGTGGGAAGCCCCCTCTCCTAGAAGAATTAAGTATTTTGAGGAATATTAAAAAGGCAGAATATTATATTTCCCTAAATGGGAAATGGAGAAACATGTTTTTTAGAGGCAGGAAGCAGCCTCCAAGTCTTGGTACTACAGGGGTATAAGGCACCCTGTTATTAAGCTTATTAAGACCAGCTGCCTGCAATTACTGCAGGGTTCGAATCTCTCCAAGGCTCAAGGTTGACTCAGCCTTCCATCCTTTCTAAGGTAGGTGAAATGAGGACCCAGTTTGTGGGGGCAATAAGCTGACTTTGTATAAATATACAAAAGGATGAAGGCTATTGCTGAGCACATTGTAAGCCGCCCTGAGTCTTCGGAGAAGGGCGGCATATAAATCAAATTTAAAAAAAAAAAAAAAAGTCTTTCTTAATAGTCCACAAAGGATGCCAGCATTTAAGAGATTAAGAGTTTAGAAGAAGAAGACGAAGAAGAAGACGAAGACGAAGACGAAGAAGAAGACGAAGAAGAAGAAGAAGAAGAAGAAGAAGAAGAAGAAGAAGAAGAAGTCAACTATCTAGATGGCTCCATTCATAAGCAAAGCAAATACTGCAGGCAGAAATCCATTCAAGACAGGATATTTCGAAACTGCTTGCAACGAAGTTTGACAGCTAACAAAAGCAGAGTGATAGGATTAGAAGCAGCCCCTCAACCAAGATCCAACACAGGACAAAAGCCATTAGCCACAATAGGAATTGCCCAACACCCTTTCAGAACACGAATCCCTTCATTGCAGTCCAAACTTCAAAGTCACAGAAACCTGGGAGCTCAGATAAATAATATGCCAGAGGTTGACCAGATTAGCTCAGACAAGCACCTAGGATTTGCATTTCTTCTTTTAGCTGGCCTATAGATGACCCCTACATAACCCCTACATAACTCCATAGGAATCTGACAACAACCAATAGAATATTAAAGGACACGCTCTTGCACAGGAACAGGAAGCTCAAATATAAAGCCCAAAGAAGGTATAAAACCTACCCACTCTCAACTCCATTTTTGCCAGTTGCCCATGTGGTTCTGCTTCATCAATAAACCATATTTCCAATCAGCCTCCATGTTTCCAGGGTCTTTCTCCCAGCTTGGAACTGAACCAGATGGATATTCCTTCCAACACCAGCATGGTCCAGCAGTACAAAGGGGCTTCTTCTCACTACAGGAAGTAAACCCAGCTCACTCCCATCCATAGTTGCTCTTGCCACCCTGCATGTCTGCTGCCCTGGCTTCTCACATGGCCACTGCTGCCCACATAAGACCATCTTCCCCAGATCTCGAAAGAAAACACATTGGGCAACCTAGGGAAGAAGTCAGTATCTTTCCCTTTTATGGTTCTAGGAAAATGACAATAGAATATTTACCAGTTATATGAATCCTCTTTTTAGAATGGAAGGCCTAGAAATCAAAAATCCACTATTTATAGTTTTTAATAACCAGACTAAAACCAAACTGAACTTTTAGTAAGGTTTTTAAATATCTTATCAAAATTATGTAATTAATAATATGTATGAACTGCAAGACAAAGCTTTCTAAAAATAGCATTCAATTATGCTGTTCCTTGCTCAAAAGAAAATTCCAATTAAAGCACATGTTTAATCACTGCATAAAGCACCCTAAAGCAAAGCCAGTCTTCAGTGAGCCGATTCCTGCTTCATCCTTTGATTTGTCAAAATTCCTCACACAGAGACTACAGCATTTTATAAATATTCCTTTCTGATGGCTTCTCATATATGTAACTACAATCCTTATTATCTTTACTACAGAATAAGGAGAATTCATTTCTTGGTAAATATACATAGGACTGGCTTTGAAAATCTATGTTAATTAGGCTATGTGTCTTTATGCATTTTAACACATACTAACATATGTTTTCACTGAAGTGTTGCTTGTGGCCACTTAATACCGGTATCTGAACATGTTACAGAGCAAATCAGAAGGCTTCAAATTAGCATGATCATCTTAGAAAAAAAGTATTAAGGTTTTTCCCCAATTTCTTTTCTCCATAATAATTGAATAACTGTATTAATTAATTAAGCCTGTATTAATCTTATTTTAAAAGCTTTTAAAATTGTGTGTTATTGTTTAAGAACAAATTAAACAGTCCGATTTTACACTTCTACATAAAAGTACACCTAACCATTTCCAAACTTCTGTTTATACATTTTTAATCAATACATTATAAGTCTATTTAATGTTTAAAAAAAACTAAATACATTTGAAATAATCATACTGCCGGTATTATACTGAGTATTAATATTATTTTAATTCAGGAATAGCAAACTTATTTAATGGCAAGTGTACTGTACCGTTACCTCAAACCAAGAGATGACAGGTTATTTTCATTCATAAAACCAAAATGCCTTCAGAAAATTTAGCTTCCAGGATACAACTTCATAATCAGATTATTCAAAAAGATTCATATTGAAAGTTATGGGTTGTAAGAACTAAAGAGCTTATTTTTTTTATCAGAACAGTTATTTCATGATTTAAATGATCTAAGTGGTCCAAAAACACATGAAATTACTTATTAAAATATTACTGACAATTCTATTAGGTTCTTTGTTAATGAACACATTAAATTTATCTTTATGAGGATTGACTAATAGTCTTGTCAAGAAGTAATCTGCATGAATCTTTCTTATTTACTTATGTAAATCAAATTAGCTGGCTATTAAAAACAGTTCAGCAAGTTCACGTTGGATATACCTGGAACATTTTGATACTGACATATTTAACTGCTTAGTTTAATGTTATTCTGTTCCAATATGTGTACACATTTTAAATTTTGTGGTTTTGTAAGCTTCTTGGTTGAAAATAGGACAAGCATAAAGCATATGATTTGCTACTACATGATAAGAAATATTGAAAATCTCCAACTGAAAGGCTACATCATGCTAAATAGTATGGACAGCCTCAGTTGCAACTGCACCAGATATCGGATTAGCTGTTGCTAAAATAGATTTCCGGTCTCAGCCAGTTTGGCAACACTTATTTATTTTGTGTACTGCCATAATCATCCAGGACACCTGGCAATTACAAGAATAAAAACATCCTAAAGTATACTCAAAATATCATTTAAACATATATATTAAATATTCAAAGTAAGAAAATTTTAAAAAAACCAAGCAATAAAAATGTTATGATTATGTAGAGGGATCATTCATACATGTACATTTTAGTGATAAATAAAATCCATGCAGCACTGCAAAAAGAATGAGAAAAAAAAACATAACTTTTAATTCTTAGCATAAGAGCAAACATTTAAAGAATGCTAGTAATGCCAGAATTTTTTTCCCTGCTACTGATGACTCTTATCCGTTAAAGCACAGATCAGTAGCTCTATCAGCTATTTGTAAATCTTGTAAGAACAAATCTCAGACAATCACCAAATTTTGCAAAAATAATGCCATTTTAATTTGTTAGTGTTAATAATGTGGGTTGATCAAAAGGCTGTTTGATGGGAAACCAAACAATATAGTGACACAAATTCTATGTTGCTAATCCACATGGTATCAACAACAAATTATTCATACTTAAAGCGATAAGTGTGAGGCAGAGAATCTGCACATTTAAAACAATTAAGAACAGAATCCTGATTATTTTGCATTAACTTTCTTTTTATAAGCTGATGAAAATAATCCTTAAAAGATTTATTTACAGCAATATCTTACCAGTGTAGATGCTGGCATTGGAAGCTGGGATGCCAAACTGTGACTCAATGAATTTGGGAATAAAGGTAATAAAAGCAGTAACAATGGCACATTCAGCTGTGTATGACAAACTCACAAAAAGGAATGTCATGTTGCTTAAGATCCTGAAAGCTGCTCTTGGGAGTTCTATAAAAAAAAACAAAAAGCAGTAAAAGAAGGACACCTAAATGTTGTCCAGAATGGATAGGAGGCCAAGAACAATCAAGGTATCACTTAGTGGTTGCTTCTCAAGTCATGAAGTTCTTCCCAAGAATTCCACTGGATACAAAAAACAACTGCCCTCTAGTGTGTTTTTCCAAAGCATTTTGTGAGATAGTATGTATTCCATATTCAGAAAGTTCCAGGTTTATTTATTAGCTTCCCCACGGGGGGGGGGGGGGGGGGGGGGGGGGGGGGGCCCTGGGCAAAAATATTCCTTTTCAGTACCCTTGCCTGCCTTCCCTTTCCCTGCAATTCCTTCCTTTACTCAAATAACAATCACATACAGTAGCTATGACGAGAGGGGGGACTCCTTTAAGAAAATGTATAAATTAATGACTGCTTTGACATTCCTTCTTGTAGCAAAGCAAAATGCAAATTTCACTACCATGGTCAATAAATAAAAAAATAGATTTTTTGCTTTCATAGTTCATGAGAGAGAAATACCAAAGAATGACAGTTAGGCCATTCTCATTATCTCTGAACTTAAGTAGGAGAAATGAAAATGCTACTCCAAAAGAACGAATTCAAATTATTTCTGCTTAGGGGGAACTTTGCAGTAGACCCAGTCGTAAGTTTCATCTTAATTAAAAGTAAAGCAGTTGTCGGTCCATTTACTTATTTTTTTTTATAGCTTTAACTAACAGAGTAGCTAGATATATGGTATTTCAGTCATGTAACATCTCTCACTAAGACTTTTTTAAAATCCAGTCCAATATTTCTATGTGTGGCTTAATAAGAACTGGGAGAAGCAAGATCTTCACTACACAGAGATATATAATGTTTCATAATTAAATACAAATTCAAATAGAGGTAGTCCTCAACTTACAATTCATTTAGTGACTGTTTGAAATTACAACAGCATTGAAAAAAATGACTTATGAGCTTTTTTCATACTTATGATCACTGTAGCATCCCCATGGTCATGTGATCAAAACTAGAGTACTTGGCAATTGACTCATATTTATGATGGTTGCAGTGTCCTGGGGTCATGTGATCACCTTTTGTAACCTTCCAAAAAGCAGTCAATGGGGAAACCAGATTCACTTAACAACCATGCTATTAACTTAACAACTGCAGTGATTCACTTAACAACTGTGGCGAGAAAGGTCATAAAATGGGGCAAAACTTAACAAATGTCTCACTTAGCAACAGAAATTTGGGGCTCAATTGTGGTTGTAAGTCGAGGACTACCTGTATGTATGTTTGCTTGAAAAGAAACAGACTTTTCAGTTTCCTCAAATCTAATTTGACTTAGTGCTTCCTACTGTTATTTAAATAACTACCATTTCCTAATTTATTGGGGAAATATAAACCACCTTCATGTGGGAAAATTAAGAATGGTGATGAGGTAAGTCACTTTGCAAAGATTGAGGCAGACATTTGCACATTTTTTCATAGTCCAGTTGCCTTTTGGAAAAGTACCTTTAGAACAACCATGACTTGGGATGACTGAGAATCTCCATAGGCATTGTGAAAAATAAGCAAACTATTTTTGCATAAATTATGATTTATGAACAGTGCATGAACACCGTAATTCTACCTTCTAACCCTAACCCTTCTTTCATCATCTTCAGCATACACACCTTCACCAAACTGGGATATTATTTTAATAAAAATAATATTGGTACATGGAAGCAGGAAAAAGCAATGGGAAATATCAAGAAGTGTGGGTATGATCATAGCATTTGCTTACAGATTCATAAAGTATGTTTCTAAAACTGGGATAATGTCTGACTATGACCAATATCTAGAAACACAAACGTTGAAACTAGCCCTTCAACTTTGTGGGTTATGTCCTCATCGCTCTTCTTCTTCATTAAGCACAATTTACATATTTATCACAGAACAGTAGAGAAGCTGAGGTTTAAATGCATGATGTCCATTTTATGTTGGAGATGAAAATCTGGCTACAGTGGAACCTCAGCCAAACTGTTCACACAGTGGAAAGAGCCCAATTTTTATCCCTACTTTAAAAAAGTGGCCAGAAAAAAGAATAGTACAATCTATCTTGCATGCCACAATGAGGATGAAACTAGTCTTTCATCTTTGTTATGCCACAAATTAACTGAAAAAGGGAGCATATGTTTTATGACTATGCTTCTATATGATGAACACAGATATTTCTATAAATATAATTTGGGGGAGAAGGATCAAAATGCAAAGCAAAAGAAAAACAACAAAAAAAGCATTTTAATTGTTCCCACAAAGTCAGTATAGCTCTTGACCTGGAAAAAGTGTCCTATTGTTCATTGAGGAGAATGTATTCAACCTCTTCCTTTTGTCCAGCATCCTTAGCCAAAATCTATTTTTCATAATGCTGATAAAAGCAGGAAAATAATAGATAGGATTTACATAGCTTTACGCTGAGCTTGTTGATTGAGAGGTCGGCAGTTCAGCAGTTCGAATCCCTAGTGCCGCGTAATGGGGTGAGCTCCCATTACTTGTGCCAACCTAGCAGTTCAAAAGCATGTAAAAAATGCAAGTAGAAAAATAGGAACCACCTTTGGTGGGAAGGTAACAGCGTTCTGTGTGCCTTTGATGTTTAGTCATGCTGGCCACATGACCACGGAGACGTCTTTGGATAGTGCTGGCTCTTCAGCTTTGAAACAGAGATGAGCACCACCCCCTAGAGTTGGGAACGACTAGCACATATGTGCGAGGGGAACCTTTACCTTATCAAACTATTCAAGCTTGATAAAGGCTGTTTATGGATTACAGACTGCCTGATTAGGCTTGAAGGGGCTCAATATTGATTTTTTGAGTGAAACAATTTACCCTGCAACTAATGTAGAACCAATTGAACCAAAGTGTTCTACTTTAGTGCTACTTCTAAATAAATAAATATATTTTTGTAGCAGTTTTCAACAACAAATAATAATTCTCTAAATTTAAATTTCATCTTAATCTGATTTTTTTCAAACAGGAAATTCTTTACCTTTAACATTCTTTCCAAAGCCCATTGATGTAGGAATTTCCGGTTCTAGCTCATTTTTGCGATTCACTTTTTCTTTCACAATATCATCATCATCACCTGAAACACTATCAGAGTGCATCTTTTTTTTCTTTTTCTTATGTCGAGGTGGGAGTTTTTTGGGAAAAGCAAACATTGGAAGTATAACAAGAAGCATCACACTAGCACAAATAAGGAATCCACTCCACCTAAAATCAAAAGGTAAGAAATAACATTTACAAATAGGGTTATATTTATTACATAAATGAGGACCCAGATTGTTGAGGACAACATGCTGACTCTGTAAACCGCTTAGAGAGGGCTGTAAAGCACTGTGAAGCGGTATATAAGTCTAAGTGCTATTGCTATATGCACACGAACGTGAACCCTCTATAAGAGAAAGCAGAAATTTACACTTTGTGTTATTGTTTGTCCTATAAAACAATTGTCATATAAGTTATTTGAAAATCACAAAAGCCGCATCCAAAACAGATAAACATCATATAGATGATCCTTGTTTAATGACCAGTTGCATAGCAACCATTCAAAGTTACAAGGAACATTCTACTCTACTCTACTCTACTCTACTCTACTCTACTCTACTCTACTCTACTCTACTCTACTCTATTCATCTTCCTATAATGTTGGCAAGCTGTGCCAGAAACTTGCACACACAAGTAGAAACATGTAGGGTACATTAAAAAATGCCAGGTGGAAAAGTAACACATCAGCTCCATTATTATTACTTTTTTATTTTTTAGAGGATAACTTTTTTAGTTTAAATATTCCCAAAATATAGAAACAGAATGATAAGTAAATGGTTGTAAAGTTAGCAGCATTTGAACAATCTATACATCTGTCTTTGGCTACTGCTATTCAAAACACAGCATACAGGATCAAAGAATACATGACCAGATGTTAAATATTACTGATCAAATGATTATCAAATGTTAAACATTATTGCTATCTTGCACATAAAACCCCCACATGGTTGCAGCTTACCAGTTACCAATGAACCGTGGGTCACTTTGATCAATCTGAACAGTACTTGTAGGATGTACATAAAATCCAATAAGAACTCCTCCTAATAAATATCCTGCTGCAGGACCAAGAGCTCCCATTACATACATGATAGCTATAAAAGAGAAAAGAAAATCCAAAATACATCAAACAATATGCTATAGTAATTTAATCATTTTCAAGAATAAAAGAGCAGGAGACTAAGCGCTTTCCTGGGCTTTTGTACATCCATCACAGCTATTTGTTCTTTTTTCTGCAATTTCTGTCTTTTCCCTATATTCTCTGTGCATGAGAGAAACAAGTTTTGGGAAAGTATGTTCCAGCCTAAGGCATGTTAATAAAAACCAGAGTTTATAGTAAATCTTCCCTCTTTCTTAAATGCAGCTCAACTAAATAAAAAACAACAATTAAACATAAGAGAATAAAAACTGTGCAGTGGAACATTTAAGATTCAAGAACAAAAAGCCGCTCTGGAGGTGAGGTTGCTTAAATCAACATGTTATATCCTGAGATCCTGTTACAGTTGGGGGCAGCTGCACAACTTGGCAAATGATACAGCTGCTGTTGCGGACATCATATCATTGTACCCACATTGGCTGAATACCTTTTTGCCTTAAAATCCAAAGGACGGTGCAACCCTTCCAAAAATGGCAGATCACTGCTTGTTTATATTCCAGTTCTGTTTTACTTTATAAATTAGGTTGGGAACTGTCAACTGAATTTAAAAATAGCTCAATTTTTATATATGTAGAACTTTCATTCATTCACTAGCAAATGTGCCAGAAAAATTTCTTGAGCACTATGGTCATGGAAAATAAAATAAGCATTCAACTCCAAACTCAAACTGATAGATTACATTTATGTATTATTAGTAATATTTTGCCTTTCAAAACATTTTAAGTTTGGAAAAGCAAATCAACCTTTTCAAAAATTCTCAATAGCTCTGGTCTTTAAATACAGATTATTTTCCCCATTTACCCTGAATTTGATTATGTATTTTATTGAACACTGAATATTAAGTGCTATTAAGATGTGTCTTATTAATGAATTCTATTGACAAGTTAGAATGATTATCAAGTAGCATAAATAATATGGCCTTAATAAAGAAGTACAGGAGTGTATGTTTGAGTGAGTAAATCTATATTGTAAATACCAATCTCTTTCTGTTTTACAGTACATTCTCCATCATATACTTCCTTGCAATATCAAGAGAACACTAACATATTGACAAGAATTTGCATAATTTACAGATTTCAAGTTACCATATTTCAAGTATCATAATTTCAGAAATAAATAATACCTTGACTATCAGAATATTGTTATTCATATTTATAATAAATTAAATCCAGGAGTAATTAGCACATTTTAATTAACAGATAAATTGTGATTGAATAAGATACAAATTATTTGGAATAGGATCCAAATTCAAGTAAAATTGCAAATTTAAATGGCCATTGATTAAGTAATTATTTATCTACAATCGATATATAAATATATAATCCATCTGTTAGGATGTGATTGTATGTTAGATTTTAATTGTGTTTTTATATGGATTAAGAAATGCAATTAAAATCTTAACACAGAATAACAATCCAGTCTTACACATGCTTTTGGGAAAATGGGCATAGAGGTGAAAAGAATGATAATTTTTAGCCTAAATTATGAGATAGATTATACCACTTAAAAGACATGAAAAACTAACAGAATTGAGGAAAGTAATTAATAAAATTAGATATTTTCAAGACAGTTAATACAATTAAAAATTCATGGACCTGAAATGAGTTTTAAAATCATTTACATCAGGATTCAGACATAAGTCACTTAAATAATATATAGCTCTACTTTATATCTGCCACACTTAACACTGCAATGTGCAGCAGCTGTTAGTCAAGCAGAAATTATGTAACAAAATTTTATAGTAAGGAGAAATATTGTATAGTACAGATAAAAATAACAGATGCTGTCTCCATTTCTTTCTGTATGAAAATTATTGGGAGGTAGGTACATTCTAAATGTTCTTTTAAAATGTCCTACTAGCAATATCAGTATCTACCACTTCCCATTAAATGAGAGCGAGCATGAGAGATATTCAACTTTTACTGTACAAATAAAGATTTGAAGGCGATCACATATATTTGTCTCCAGGTTTACTGAACCTTTTTTTTAACCACCTATTTGTTGCCACTAATAAAGAAGTGCTTTTAGGCAAAAAGAAAAAAAGATTTATTCGCATTATAGAAGGGGGGAAAATGAGAGTGGAAGAGAGAGTGGTAAGGGGAGGAACTCAGACGTGGAATATCAGGAGTGAAACGAGCATTTACTGTGTAAGGAGATACATATATATTCTATAATATATTTAGCTTTTGGTAAGCATGCCATCAAGACAAGAAGATAGTCCACAACATAAACTCACATTGATCAGTACAGATGTAACCTTTTTTATTATTATTATAACCAGGCATAGGCCACTGCTAGCTGAAAGTTAAAAGTCCACCTTAATGCTATTGTTTGGTGGTTGATTAATATCCTTTTTGGATATTGTCTGATGTTCTAAATTTGGATCTTATAAATCCATATCTCTTACTGGGTGCCAGGAAGACTATTTTTAAAACTTGAAGGCTTACATTAGTATAAAATGGGCGTTGACTTACCTGAACGCCCCTTCTGGGGACCGGGAAGACAGCGGTCAGGAAAGGGTTATCTGCTCCAATCCAGCAAAGATCGGGTCAGGAAAGTTGCTAAGCTCCTCCTCCTGTCGCTTGCCAGCTTTCTGACTCGATCTGTGCTGGATCGAACGCACTTAGCCCCTCTCCTGATTCTCAGTCTTCCTTTACAATTTAATTGGCTTTAAAAATAAATTTCTCTTTAAATTAGCTGAGGTGCACAGCGAGAAGGGCTTCTTTGGTCCAACTCCGCTGCGACCGCTTAACTTCAAAGCAATAACAAAAATAATAAACTGGGGGTTTTTTTGTCAAAACTCACCAAGACCTTCTGGTGAAATATTAATTTTTCCCTAAAATTACAATTAGCTGTCACGGGAATGGATAAATAAGGATAGAAATATTTTTCCCATTGGTTACAACCAAAGAAATAGACCCCAATTGACTATGTCACTGGGCTATTTGTCACCTTCCAGGTAAACTCTTCTTTTAGAACAGAAGAACAAGATAAATTGAATTACAGGAGGAAATGCATTTCAGTATATTTGCTCTGCAACTATAGAGAAAAATATATATTTTTTGAATTTCCAGCCCTCACACCTTCTTTGGCTAGCAGCTCACAAAGTTTTCATTGTGAAATCATATTCTAAACAAGGGTTACAGGACTTCTTGGTACCAGAAAAAGAGGATCCGTAGACAAGGCATCTAAATTACCAAAAGGCTGAAGTCTAGATCTTGCTCCCAATTATGGTACAGCTGCTCTAAGCAGAAGACCATTTACTTTAGCCAACTATGTTTTCCAACATTCTGCATGTTTCACATAGTACAGTAGAACATTCTTGCTGACTAGATTTCATATTATGATATCTAAGATCTTGGAAGACAGGTATAACAGCTTTATTCAGAAAATTCAATCAGCTGAGTTCCTCATGTTTTGCTGTTCTACCCATGTATCAGTCATAACTCTTCTAATAATGTTCCTGATGGCTAAATATTGAATCTGAAACAATTAATAAAGTTGCCAAATTCTGTACACATCAATTGCTATACCAAGGATTATTAGATTTATACGAGAGTCACTTTGACTAGTGTTTAGGGAACTGAACTAGGAGTTGGCAAGACTGAGTTCTAATACTGTTTTAGAGAGGCTGAGTGACCTTGAGACGGTCACTCTCTTTCAGCCCTCATTACAATAAATATGGCAAATATGATAAAGTCTGAATATATGTGTGCAACAGAGTTAACATACATCCTTTTTTCTAGACATATCCCATATTTCACTCCTTAAATTTCCAGCTGGAGACAATTTGAAAATACTTTAAAATGTCTGGTGTTCAAGGGTAAAATAAGAACAAGGAGCACTTTGCTAAAAGCAGCTACAGCTGCTGTACTTTCATGTCATTTCTGTCTATACAGTAGAAGATGTGCTGAAAGAAGCCAGAGCAGTCAGCCCAGCAATAAAATTGCCATCCAATGACAAACAATATAAGAGTTTGCCCACGAGTAGCCACCCCACTCTCTTCTATGCGTTTTCCTCACTTGCTGCCTCTAGAAGCTTAGGGGAGTGAGCAAGAAATGATAATGATAGTGGCACAATTGGCTTCCAGACATTGGGGAGATGTTAAACAAGAGGTAACCCTGAGATACCTCATAGATGGGGTGTTGAATCCATGTAAGCACACAAAGTCATGGCAAGGAGATGGGCAACCATATTAATTCTGAATGAATGAATGAATGAATGAACGAACGAATGATCTTCCCTTCCTTCAGTCAAAACCAACTGAAATTTGTTCTTGAGACAGAAGAACCACTATCGCATGGTGCCCGCAACTCCCAAACCTTGAAAGCAATCCAGAACCACTAAAATGGATGCATCATCACAGAATTAAAATAAAATTAAAAAGTTAAAAATTACAAGAGTTTAAAAAGATGGGGGTATGAACTTAAGCCACCTCCCGCCCCCCAAGGTTGTGTGACACTGTTTAATTCCCATGACAATTGCCAGAGCCAGGTCATGACACCTTTCTGAAAGGCAAAAAGCATGGGGCGCCCCTCATCTCTGGGGACAAGATGTTCCATAAAGTGCGAGCAGCAGTACAAAAAGCTTTCTTCCTGGACCCTGCCAGTTGAAATTTTGGATGGGACAGGTCAATAAAATAGGGAGATGACAGTTCATCACGTAACCTGGTCCCATACCATGAAGGACCTTAAAGGTAATAACCAACTATTCAAATTGGATCCAGGAAAAAACTGGCACCCAATGCAGCAGAGATGTTACATGCACAACCCTACATACATGACGAAATACACATACACAAACATACACCAACACACAATAGCAGTATCACAGCCCCTGCTGCAGTATAGCTGTTAATTCAATTTTCTTGCCTAAAGTTGAAAAACAACAATCTCAGAAAAAACACCAAAAAGTCCCTTGGCATCTTACAAACAAATT